CTAATTATATTTCAAAATTTATAGATCATAAAACTATCAGCATTTCTCTAGTTCCTCATCCTCATGCTTTGTTACTTGAACCAGGTTTACCTGTTGCACTCAGGCAATAAATAACCTTCTAGATGACTTCTTCTGCCCACATTGCTAGTCCAGTTCTAGTTCTGGGAAACAAGGATAAAGTTTGTGCCTCAGAAGGTAATTGGATCAGTATTAACTATATGCTCCTTGAGAGGAGAGACTTCTATTTTTGTTCTTATGTTCTTAGCATCTAACATAGTATCTTGTACATTTTATACTTATGTTTGTTGAATGGTGTATAATCCTACTATTAAAACATTTTGCCTACATCCTAACTACTTTAACTTGGTTTCTGAAATCCATATTATCCAAATCCTCTGGACCCCTGACCTTTTGTTTCCCTGGTTTTCTAGCCAAGATTCCTTATTCCTGCATTAGGTGGTCACTTGGATTTAATACCCTGTCTACCTGAATTGTCTTTACCAGCCCCAAACTCATCATTTTACAGATGAGGACACTAAGGCCCAGGGAGTTGAAATGTTTTCCTCAAGATTCTGGAATAATATTGTTTTCAGTACTCTTTAATATATTAGTATCAATAAGTTGGGACTTGGGACAGGTATGTTTTGATGGGCAGGAGTCCAGACAAGGGCTGAATTTTGAATATATAGGCCTGTCCTGAAGACAGTCGAAATTGGGCTGTTGCAATTCAGAGTTTAGAGTAGTATGAGGACACTGACTGGAGGATCGTCCAGAATGGGGAGTATAACACAAAACAAACAGTGATAGGACAGGAGAATATGAACTTCATAATTACCTGCTTCATAATTTTACCAGCTAAACAGTATAGAGCTCTACATTGCATATCCAGTGGCTTAAAAATGTTTCCTTTAGCTAGCGAACTGATCATGTTCAAGGTGACAAAATTTCATTTATTTATGAGGTGCTTCCCCTTCCTCCATAACTGAGGTTTAATTTCTTCCTTTCCTTGTCAGCACTTGAAATTTTCTGAGTAAATGACATTGGTGGCAAAAGTAGATTCTAGGATCTAAATTTTCTTTTCTACTGCTGGTTTCTAGCATATGGATTCAATTCCAACTTTGCATTGGAGCATAACCTGCTACTTGTGCAAATGATCATTTATTAATATAAATACCTTTCAACTAATTTGATGATTGGCAGGGAAGTTGAAGCCTAATGATTTTTTTTGTTTTATATTTTAAGATGTGGTCCAGCTTCCCCTGCAGTCTCAGGGTCATGGAATGGATTCCACAAGTTGATCAGCAGGCTTAAAAATGTAGTTACTTCTATTGACTTGACAACTCTCAGGATGAGCACTTACAGTTTGTCATTGTCATCTCTTTTGTTCCTTTAGGATGAATCCAGTTTATTACCTAACCTTTAATCCAGTGAATCAAAGGTTTTCTAGTCAAATCTCAGTACATAAAGATACAAGATATCTGCTTTTTGTGGTACAGATCTAATATTAGGGTGTTGACATAGTCCTTAAATAATGAAGGATAGTTTGCCTTCATGTGCCTTGTGCTTGGGGAATTTGATTCAGTAGTGGTAGTTCTAACTAACAGTTCTTTATTCTTCCTTTAATATTCCTTTTGTGATCAAAAAAAATTTTTTTAAAAAGTTTTATTCTTCCTGATTTGTTGTCTTGGAAGGATATTGCTGCTTTTTTTTTTTTTATTAGGAATCAAAGCATTATGTTATTGTGGTGATTACTTTTCTTAGGTTTGTTCTTCTAATTTTATCTTTAAAATTTGTTATATTTTTCTTTAGGAAAATAAGCTTGAAACAACATCAGATGTTATGAACAAAGATTGTTTGCTTGTTTACATGTTAAATTGACCTTTGTGATTTAGCCTAACATCTGAGCCCTTAGAGCAGTCATTTGTTTTGACAAGAAGGATTAATTGAGGCTAAAACAGTTGAAATTCCACTTGTATCAAACTATTCATTAGGAATTGCTTTCTGGCTTTAGTACTGTCAGAAAAATAACCTGTCCTCCTTTGATTAAATAGCAGAATGATAGTCGGTCCACTGATTTTGAGAGAGAGGTTGAATAAACTTTCTACTTCGGAAACAATTCAGAAGTGACACACTGTAAGGGAGGTCATAATGTGCATTGATGTCCAGCTGAGCTGCTGACTGGCTCTGAGCCAGGCACGCCAACCTCACCTCTTGAAGCAGCATGTGAAGCATATATATTTTAAAAAATCCTTTTACACGTAGTTTAATGTCAAAACGAGTATTTTTAAACTTTCAAAATCAGAAACCAGAACTGTCTATAATTATTTATGCCCACAACATAAATCTTTATAGGTGCAGATAACAAATATATGAACAATTTTAAAATGGTTTTGTTCACGTTAGGTTTTCCCTTCGTGTTCAGTTGTCTTGGTTGAAAAGCTTTTACATTTGTTTTAAAAGTGATGCCTCTTTTGAAAAAAATTATTTTGTAGCATATTTAATTATATTTTCTTTATATAGAAAAACTTTAAAAGTGTATTGGACTTGATAAGAGGCAGAATAAAACAACCAAAATGATGAGACTGGCAAACAGGCTTTAGAAGGAAAGGTTAAAGATTCACTAACAAGATGACTAAGAAGCTAGGGATGGGGTGATTTTAAAACTGTTTAAAATATATGTAAATATTTATTCAGAAAGGAATGAATAAGAGAAAACGAGCTTAAAATGTATTTGGAAAGTTTGTTTAAATTTAAGGAAGAACTTCATGACTGTAAGGTCCAAAAAAAATACCCCAGGCTGTTAGAGTTTGTAGAATCCACCGTCAGTGACTACTTAAAGGCCATATTTCATGGCTACATTCAGAGCTGCCAGAATTATTTATGGATATTATGGCAATTATTGTCATTAGGAAATGCTACTAAAATAACTTAAGATAATAATATTGATTAATTTTATCTCTTGTTAAGGACCAAGTACCAGCACAGCGCAGTAGTTTTTTACTTTGAGTCCATATTTTTGCAATCCTTTAAATAGAAATTCCTGGACTCATTCAAACTATGTGCTCTTGTAACAGATATAGAGAGAGTTTTTGCCTGATAACAGTTGTGATGGTCTCTCTTTACTTTAGGCTTATTTGGCAAAATAGGTTTAATATTGATCATATCATTAAGAGGAAAAGTGATACTGTGAAGTTGCTAGGGTATGGCCAAGATGGTCAGAGTTCACCTATATTAATAACTCCAAAGAAGCAGCTTTTCATTGGGTCTTCTGCTCCAGTGACACGCTTCCTGTCCTATATATTCCTTCTCCTCTAGAGATGTTCTTAGACCATTTATCTTCGTGAGAAATTTTCTCTAGGTCTGGACCAAGCGAACTATGCAAATATAAAGTTTTTCATTGTCAAATACATCTAACTTTTAATTTAACAAGTTGACTTAATTTGAATTTGTCAGTACATCAGTGCTGACTCATAGACACAGCTTTCTAACCTGAAAGGCATCATCTAGGCTTATCTGATAAAAGGAATTTAATTATTACCAGTCTCTAATTATTTAATAATTCCTAATATTGGAAATTATAGCATAGACATAAAAATAAATTCTTTGAAATAAATTAAATAAATAATATTGCTTTTTCATAGGACTAAATAAATTGCTTTTTCATAGTACTATTTTCTGTATTAATTTTTTACTTTTCTTAGTACTATGAAATATAACATTTTTTCTTTTTAAAAATTAAGTAGCAAAGGTATTAGGATTATAGATTTAGAGCTGGAAGGGAGGGCCATCTAATTCAACCCCCTTATTTTACTGTAGAACAACAGAGGCCCAGAGGTTAAGTGACAGTTTATTAGTTAGGATCTTGCTTGTCAACTGGATTATGTGAATTAAATTCTTCTGTTCATTTCAGCCATTAGTACTCATCACTGAATAATCTTCTTTTTGAATTTTAATAGTTTTCTAATTTTATATTTGCATTTATCAGGTAGGAAAGAGATTTTAGTCAACATGGTCACATGTTGTCAGCCTTCTATTTAGCTAATGGATATTCTTTATATTAAACCTATGAAAATGCATACTAAGGAGTTTGCTAATGGATCTTTATCTGGTATCTTAGTAGAGAACCAATGGCATATTCATACATTATCCTCTATTTACATTTCAAGTAAGCTAATTTCTCATTTTCTTATCCTAATGGATTGTTCTAGTGATCATTTAAAAATGACACTATGCTAATTTTTTCCATAGATTTGTTTGAATTTCATGAGTTTTCTATTTCATTCAAAATAGACAAGCGTTGTCAACATTTTGGAACCATCTTTTGAAAAAAAAAAATTCGTTTATACACCTTCTTTAGCCAGACTGATCTTAACTGCAAGCAAGCTATGTTCTTTCCCGCCTGCACAGTTTACTCACAGTTCTTCTCTTTAACTAGAATTCCTTTCTCCCTTCTGTGATACTGTGTTATTTATTCAAGGTCTAGCTAAAATCCCTTTCCTCATTTAAGCCCTTCAACCTGGAATGAACCCATAATCCTCTCCCTGATGTTCTGAACCATTTGTAGTTTGTTTAGCATTACTGTATTCTGCTATGTTTTATCTTTCTTGTATTGTAATTTGTCCTTTCTCTCCAGCCAAGTTATAAGTTCCTTGAAGACAGACTCCAGGTCTTCTAATATCTCTTTTAGAAAACAAACATGTATTAAGCAACTATTAGTGCAAAGTACAATATACTGTACTCTTCAAGAGATTAAGAAAATAAGACAAGGTCACTGATCTTAAGGAGTTTAAAATCTATTTGCCTGTCAAAGTAGTGTTTAAATGTAGAAAGTGCTTAATAAGGCAATGTTAGTATAATTTAATTTCTTTAAATATTAACTACTTAACATGTAAAAATTGGGAAAATATTAGAAATTTCTTTTAAAAATAGCGTTTTGATCTGCTGTGTTTTGATTGTTATTTTCTACTAGGCTACTAAATTTGCTCTTTTTTTCCCCCTAGGCCTTATCGAATTTGAAGAATGTGATGCTGCTAGTGTAGCTGAAGGTAAGTAACAAGTGATGAATTATGTTATTGCATTAGAATTTAACTAGTTACTACCCCCTAAATCTTAGCAACCTGATAGTCTTGTTCTTAAATAGATAAACATTAGGGATTATTAGAACATCCAAAGGGTAATTACCAACAATAGTCCTAGCAAGGGGTGTATTTATAGGAAAAAAAGAGTATTTCCCCCTTATATTAACATGCTATGAAAGTTAGCAGCACCTTATCTTTACTTCCTCACAAATAGATTTTTGGGTTGCCAAAAGAAAGTATTAACTTGTTGCCCAAATACAGTATATTTTATAGAAGATGTGTTGTATATATTTGCCTAGAGTGCTGAACTTCGAGTCAGAAAGAAGGACTGTGTTCATATCCTACCTCTAACACTGTCAGTCACTTAACCACTCATGTCTCTACATGTAAATTGGGGAGAGTACATTTGTAAAGCACTTTGCAAACCTTTTACTACTATATAAATGGCAGGAGTTACTATGATTTCTAAATGTACACTATGTTTTCCTTCCCTCCATTGTACAAAAGTAGTATTTTAGAATTATATGAATATTAAAGTTATAAAGTAACTAGTATATAAGTACATAATAGTATAAAATGTTTACTGTTTTATGTTTTAATAATACAGAATTGTGCAGTTTGAGGAAGCACTGAGTAACAATCAGGAGACTCAGGTTCTAGCCCAAGTTTATAGATCATAGAATGGGAGAATCATCCAGCCCAATTCCCACTTGAATCATGGTTGCTTTCTGCAGCATTTCCAGTGAGAGGTCATTCAGACTTTAAAGATTTCCAGTGAGTGCACTTTCTAAAGCAACCCATTTCATTTTTTGATAGCTTCAATTGTTAGCAAGTCACTTAAGCTCTCAGTTCCATTTTCGTATCTGCAAAATGAGAATGACCAATATTACTAGCTTTACTTATCTCTTAGGGGCATGATGAAGAAAAAATGATAAACACATATGAGAAGGCTTTGAAAACTATAAAGTACTATACGAATGTAAGGTCTAAACTTTTAATATGACATCTTGGTAACATTACATAAGTAACAAAACCTTTTCTCCTAAAGACCATAGATCCTAGATCCTAGGTTAAGTTGATATAATAGATTCTAAAGAACATTCATTTTGATGTGTAATAAAAAAAAATGAAGACCCAATTGATTATGAAAACAAATGTTGATATTTACTGCTGAGTTACAGTTTATGACAATGATATTGAACAAAGGTAATACCAGTATTATCCTTTCTGTGTTGTAATGATTACATACAACCAGCTGGTTAAAGCTGTAACCATTTTAATAGGTTCATTCTGCATGTGGGTCATATAACCTTCCTCTGTGCCATTGACCATTAGCCCTAGCCAGGCATGGCCTTCAAGTGTATGTAGTCCCACGAGAAGGGGGCAGGACAGGAGTATGAGATGGATCAGCACAGATCTACTAGAAACAGCTACAGAGTGCCTGTCCTACTGATTATTGGTCGGCATTGTCACCCTGATATATGAAAGAAAGAAGATTATTATGTAGTCATTGTATACCCAGAGGACATGATTTGACCTTGTAATGATCAAATCAAAATGGTTTTCTTAGAAAAGTGATAATCTTAGAAAAATGTTCTTTCCTTCTCATATCTGTATCAAAGGCTTTAAATATAAAGTGTGTGCTAAGATTCACAAATTACTCAAATAATGTCTCTGATAAAGCATCCAGTGAATAATTCTTCATTCTCTGTTAACAATAAACGTTCACTTTAAAGGGATAAAGCCAAGAAAAAGAAAGACTTTTGCTTTGTCAGGAATAATTAAGAAGGAAAAGGATGCAGAATCAGTGTAAGTATATTAAGTATAATTTTTTTTCTTCTGTATTTTTTGTAGATTTTACCCTTCTCAAATTTGACAAAGTGCCCTTTTCTTCCCTAGTTCATAACATTTGGTGGGATTGAACTAGTGTTACAGCATTGTAGTCTTTATAGGTACCCTCCGCCAGCTCATGGAGGTGGTGAGAAGTACTCCTTGTTACACAGACTGTTAGAGTTTCACTGGTGCCTCCTCATGCCAGATGCCATGGAATTTAGCTTCCTCCTGAAGTAGCTGCTAGAGCTAGGAGAATCCCCCACTCTTCTTTTCCTGGTGCTTTGGTTTGGAACTAATATATTTTCTCATAGAAAAGAGATTGTTGTTTGTGGTTAGATCTAATGAAGTAGTGTATTATGACTTTAAAGGTGTATTATGACTATTAAAGATGTATTATGACTTGAATAGGCCTTTGTGGACTGGCCCAGGAACAGTCAGTTAAAAAATATTTGTGTATACTGTGTGCCCCAGGTATTGTGTAAGCAAAAAGAAAAGCAGTACCTGCCCCCACATTCTAGATGAATTAGAACTCTAGAACTCACATTCTAATGGAGGAGACAACATGTAAATAATATATCTTTATATACAAGATATATACAGTATGTAAATGTGAAAGATTTTAAATGCCAAACAGAGGAGTTTATATTTGATTCTAGAGGTAACAGGGATCCACTAGGACTCATTTGGAATGGGATGGGAAGGTCAGGAAAGAGAAGGCAAATGGGCAACCCTGTGCTTGAGAAAAATCACTTTGGCAGCAGAAGGGTAGATTTTATGGGGAAACTAATTAGAAAGCTATTGTAGTAGTATAGGTGTGGTGATGAGGGCCTCACCTAGAGTGGTGGCTGTATGAGTGGAGAGAAAGGAACCTATAGAAGAGATGTTGTGAAAGTATGTATAGACTCTTAAGATTTGGCATATACAGATTGTATATATATATATGAAGACTGAAGACGTAGGGAAGACATGGAGATTGGGAACCTATATTATTGATGGGATTGTATTGCCCTCAACAATAATAAGGAATGTCATAATGGGGTGGGAAGAAGAATGCAGGAAAACTGAAGAATTTTCTTTTGGACATGTTGAGGTCGAGATGCATATGGCAGTTGAATCCATGGGAGTTGATGAGGTCACCAAGTGAAATAGTATAAAGGGAAAAGAGAAGAGGGTCTAGGATCTAACCTTGAGGGGACAACCTTCATGGAATGGTCAATGTCATGAAAACCAAGAGAGGAGAGAGTATTTAGGAGGATTCACCAGTGTCAAATGCTTCAGAGTCAAGTCAGAGAGCATTTATTAAAGGCATACCATGTTTTAGACACTGTGTAAAGCACTGGGGATACAAAGAAAGAAAAAAAATAGTCTCTGCCTCAAGTAGCTCACAGAGTAATGGGGGAGACAACATACAACTATGTTACAAACTTGACATACACGGGATAAACTGGGTATATTCTGAGAGGGAAAGCACTGTGGAGAACTAGCAATGTCTTCTTCTAGAAGGTGGAACTTTAGTTAAGTCTTGAAGGAAAGCTGAAATGTAGAGGAAGTAAATTGCAGGCACGGGGACAGCCAGTGAAAATGGGGAGATGGAGTGTCTTGTATGAGTTAAAACAAGGAGGCCAGTGTCATTAGATTGAGGAATACATGGAGGGAAGTAAAGTGTAAGAAGACTGGAAAAGGTAGGAAGAGGCCGGGTTATGAAGGGCTTTACATGCTAAATAAAGGACAACAGCCACTAGAATCTTAATTGGATGATAAATATGAATTAAATGAACCTCAACAGAGGAGAAGGTTACTGAGTGATAAGGGGTAGGAGAGAGTGGCATTGAGAAGCAAGGGGAGTGTTTAACTCCCCAACCTCTACCAGTGAGTGACTAGTGAATATTATTAAGTGCAAGTGCCACCAATGTTGGTTATTATTGGAATATAATGTCTGTCCATACATATTCTCTGTAATCTTGGGCAAAGGGCATATGTGGAAGTTACTGTGTTTGACATGCTAGAGCCAGCAGACTCCACTTCCTTTAAACTGTAGAAGAGGGGAACATGGCCAGTGGCCCCTCTCATCAGCTACTTCTCTGTAGACTTCCTAGTTCTTGTTCCTATATTTACTTTTGTGTGTATTCCATAATAGAAGGCAAGCTCTTTAAAGACAGGACCTCTTTGTTTTTGTGTCCTTGGTGCCTAAAATAATAATGTCTTACACTAGAATTTGCTTAATAAAAGCTTGTTGAATATATTTTATACTATAGAACATTCAGTGTATAAAATTATGGGTGCAAATAACATCTTTGGGGAAATGGTTTTCATTGATACTGTTTTTAGGTACAGAAGGTACATTAAATGAATAGGCTTGATTAAAATCTATTTGACAGTTACTCTAAGACTATTAATTTCCCTAACAGTATGTTATATGATAGAATATTCATAGAAGAAAAATAATTTTTAATGGTATTAAAGTTTTGTTTGAGTCAGATAGGCCAAATTTTGTTTATAGATTATTAACAGATTTATAGCTCAAAAGAACAAATGTATATAAAATGTTTTTCATACTTAAAGTGCTACACAAATACTGTTAATTATTTCATTTACCCTAATTTGAGTATTAGAGAATTAATTTTTTTTTTTTTTTTTGCTTTTTGGTGAGGCATTTGGAGTTAAGTGAATTGCCCAAGGTCACACAGCTAGTAAGTGTCAAGAGTCTGAGGTCGAATTTGAACTCATGTACTCCTGACTCCCAGGCCAGAACTCTATCCACTGTGCCACCTAACTGCCCCTTAGAGAATTAATTTTTAACAGGAGTGGGAAACCTGTGACCTCAAGGCCGCAGGTTCCCCACCCTTGGATTAAATCGTGTCTGAATTAATATTTTCTGAAGATTCAACTATCTTTTAAATCTCTAGCCTAATGGTTTCCCATTAACACTTTAGAATATGTTTGTATTTAGTGTTTAAAAAATTTTTGGTATGTCAATTACTTCAAGTAATTTAGTTGAGTAAAAAAGATTCTATTCAAAGTACTCCTTAAAAAGAAGCTGAAACATAATTAGTAATTAATTCTGGTAAATGAAAATGCCTAAGAAAATTTTTTTCTTTTTCTTTTTCTTTCTAAATAGGGAATGCCCAGATGCAGATTCAGTTGTAAGTAGATTTCTTCACAGTACAGATAATGTAAATTAACTGTTTTCATGAGAAAAGATAAAATTACTGTGTTATATTAATTTTAATATTGGCTGTTATGTGTAATGATTTTGTGGTGGTTATTTTGATTAGCATAAGAATGCCTTGAAATGTTACTTATTTTGAACACTTGAGAGCTACTGTTATATTGCTTTTTTTTCCTTTGAAGTACATGACAGATTCCCCAATCTGCTTAGTGTAATGGTTATGTTAATTTGTTTTCAGATCTCTCATCAGGCCATACCTTTCTATTTTTACTATAAATCAATTTGAGTTTTCTGGAGATTATAATGAAAAAAAAAACATGGTCAGTACTTTTCAGGTTTAGTAACATTTGAAAGGTTTGTTTTGTTTTTTTTAAACCTCTTTATATAATTCAAAACCCTTAAATGAAACTTCCCATGTCTATAGTGAAAGAATAGGTTTACCAAAAACTGTAAGTAATCTGTAGACACATTTTTAAATCACCTTACATAGTGGTGATGCTGATAAGAATAAGGGCCCTCACGCCTTGTTTTTTTGCTTCTTGTCAACACCTGCTACTTATTTTTTATGTTTTTAGATTAAAAACATTTGTCCTTTAACTTATTGTTACCGTTTAAAAATAAAGTTGTAACAGACTTCAATTTGCATCTAAAGCTTACCTAATGTAATTGCAACTGTTGTTTTTGTTCCATATTTACTTCTCCATATTGCTGAAAAAAACAACAAAAAATTATTTGGGTGGTAAATTCAACATGGAGGTAGGCGGGAATGTAGTCCTTTTAACAGTCTTTAGTGGAACAATGGTCTGTGACAGCTATTGGGTTGAAAATCACTGAACTGAATTATAATTAGGTTTGACTCACAATGTTAACTTATGATTTGTTTTAGGACCCGTTCCCCTGGCTTAATAATTAAAGAAATATTTATCCAAATATATCTGACATTTCTTTTAGACATTGTAGTTATCAAACTTTTTCATACATTAATAAAAAGGCAGAGAGTATTTTATAAAATAAAAATTTTTATAATTTTTATCAAATAATTGGTAATGTTTCTTTTTTAATAGTCTGAATTTTTAGTATATCACTAATACTTTTTAGTATGGCCCAGTATAGCCCAGTTTAGACTTTGTATTGATATTTATAATTCAACCAACTGCTGCTCATAGTAGCTTAATAATTTTGAGGAAATGTTTAGTTATTTTATAAAAATCATTATAAGTGTTTATGAGATCAGTATTTTTCTAAGTTATTTTGGGGACATGTTTTTATTATGTTTGTCATGCTTTTGGAATGATGCATTTTATACATTTCACTTTCTAATTTGATGAAACCTCTGATGATTCAATTTTTGTACTAACCATCTACCAGATGGTGACTTTTCTGGTATCTTAACAATTCCCAAGTTATGTATGTACATGTAGCCCCTCCATTGCACACAACCTGAACTGGTAGAACCATTAATTAACGACTGGTTTAGAATAGAATTGTTTGTCGATATTAGTGGATAGGGGGGCAAGGCTTATTACTTTACTGGTAGAGAGAACTCCCAGATAAGGAAACTCCCTCTCCCAGGGCAGTTTGGAACCACCTCTGCATCTTACCATTTTGGAGAGTTGCCTAGAGTATTTAGAGGCTTTGACTGGCCTAAGGTCACACAGCCAGTAGTGTTGGAGTCACGCAGTATCAGAGGCAGGGCTTGAACTTGGAGCTCCTTGGTTCTGAGGCCATGGGTTAGGTGATAGAATGGTAGATTTTAGAGTCAGGAAAACTTGAGTTTGAATCCTGCTGCACTCATTTACTGGCTGTGTGACACTGGACAGGTCATTTAACCTCTTTGCTCCAATTTCCTCATCAGTAGAGGATGGGGATAATAATAGCACTTATCTGGCGGAGTTGTTTTCAGAACCAAATCAAATGAGATATTATGTATTTGTAAATCTTCAAGTATTATGTAAAAATGCTTATGGACGTTGAAATTAATTTTTCATTTTCAATGAAAATGAAATGAAATGAAAAAAACCTGTCATTTTCACATACCACTTTTCATACAATTGTCTAGAAGCCTATTTAAATTATAAGTAGCATCATACACTAAAATTCTGATCCACCTACTACATATTATGTGCCTATTGCAGTATTTATCAGGATCTTTACTTAATAGATAAACTCCATATTTTGAAACTGAATCACATACTCCCTTTAATGTTGTGTTTAAAAGGATGTGTTCAAGGTTTTCATTGCAGTTGCTAACCAGTAATAAATTCTAAAAAATTTTTTTTATTAAACTTAACTCACTGACTCTTGTAGTGATATCAGTTGTATGACTAACATTTTACTTGATTTGTTTTATTATTTTAAGCATAGACTTTAGGTTTCTATTTTATTTCAGGATTCTTTTCTCCTCCTTTAACTAAGGACTTCTAGATTGGAGCTTTGCATATGAACACACTTGTACTTTTTTCCCTTTGCCATTTTATTAGTGAGAACATTAATTGTATATGGCCAGGGAGGGGGGACTTGACAAGAAGAATCACTAAAATAGAGTGAGATTTCCAATATTCTCTACTTCAGTAATTCCTCACAGCAAGAAATGTGTATACTGAAAAATTTATTTAGTGTAATGCTTTCAACGTTTATTATTTCAGATATGTTAGGCAGAGAGGATAAATCCTCTTTGGATATATATTTGAAAGATGATGTTAGGCTATTTCGTTGTTTCTTCTTGACAATATTATCTGTTTACATCTAAAGAAAAAGTGAACACTATTAATTTACACAAAAGTTTTTTTCAAAGCAAATTTTCCTTTCTCTAATGTCTAAACCAGCTTCTAAGGAAAGTTAGTAGATAATTGAATTGTTTTACTTATCAAAGGATTCATAACATTCATATTTTAGTGTAAGCAGGCCTAGAAACTATAGCACATTTTTCAGAAGAAATGACTACCTAATTATTGGGTGATGAATTTTTTACGAAAGACTTAAAATCAAATAGATGAACAAATGTCTGTCAGAAACCACATATTAAGCACTGCTATTTGCCAGGTGCTGTGCTAAGTGCTGGGGATCAGGGAGCATTCATTATATTTATATCCTGTGTACAATAAGATACTGACTATAACAAATATTAACTGATAACATTTATCTTCTTTAATCTAGAATGCCTTTTATTGGAATGATCACTTTTAAAAAAATTACGCAAGAAAGTTTGAACTGATGACTTCTTTTTCTCTTTATAAATTTCTCTAAGCTAGCAGAGGTAATCAAGATCTGCCACTTATTTTGGAGTTGCACTGAAAGACCCATTCTTTGAAAAATCTGTAAAATTGGGGGTGTTAATAACACTTAACTTTATAGTTGTTATGAAGATCAAATGAGATAATGTTTGTAAAGTACATTGCAAATCTTAAAGTAGCATATAAATACTAGTAGCAACAGCAGCAGTAGTAATGGCAATCCAAAAGGCAAATATTTGAAGGCCCCATAAAGACTTTAGTTATGAGGATTTGTCTCTTGAATTTGAGCTTTTTTTTTTTCTTTGCTGATTTTTTTTGTTCTTCCATTTCTACCCCTCACCTAACTCCAAACAAATCAGGAAAACCAGTATCAAAGATAACAGTGAAGGGAGAGAGAAAGTAAGTCACCAAAAATGGGACTCTTGTTATGTGGTGGGTGTTTTGAAAAAGGAATGAAGAGCCAGTAACACTCTTTCACCTTCCTTCACTTAGTGGGAGTGTCTGTGAATTAGTTTGTGTAGATATGAGCCTGTAGGATTAAAAAACAAAAAACCAACTATTTCCATAAGTTATTGCCTAATCTCATTGATGTAGGATTCCCTTGCAAAGATCATATTGAGTGAACAGAACCATACGATATAAAGTATTGGAAAGTGGAAACTGCCTGGATTTATTTAATTTTTTAACCTTTGGGTAATAATTTTGAAATGCTTCAGTCTCTTCACCTAAGATTGAAATTAACTAGTGATGCAAATTAAGGAGATGTGCATATCAGATAAAGATATATAAATCTCATGCTCAGTACTCTCACTTTCAGTCCACAACTATACCTTAATTTCTCACATACCTGCAGAACTTTCTTTTTATCTCTGTTAACACCCCCAGCCATTCCATATTTCAATTTCACGCAGTTCCTTAGTTTTCTTTGCTGTACCAGATTTGCTATCTTGAACTTTCTAGTTGTCTGCTGGATACAAGAGACCTGGGTTCAGATTTTGACTCTGACACTTAGTGAGCTACAGGACCTTGAACCTTAACCTCCTTCAGCCTCAGTTTCTTTATCTGCCTCATAGGCTGTTTTGAAGCTCAAGTGAGATAAAGAATGTGAAGTGATATTTAAAGATCAGCTGTCATTATCATTATTATTATTATTATTATATCATAGTAGTAGTTAGTAGTTGTAATTATAAACAGTAATATCACTACCTCCTTATGGTACCTGGAAAGAACATTAGAAGTCACACCTGGGTTCAGATGCTGACTCTGTCACTTAATACCTGTGTGACCTTGGGCAAGGTTCTACAGCAATTTTGGCCATAGTTTCTTCATCTATAAAAAAAGGGACTGAAATAAATAACCTTTCAGGCCCCTTCAAGTTCTAAGTCCATGTCCCTATCATGAGTCTTGACCTTTAATTTTCTTTTCTTGTCAATTTGAAACTCTGCATCTGCTTTTACCACTCCTTTTTCTGTGGTGCAGAACTTAGGAAAGAACCAGCCTAAAGACTTGGGGTGCTATGTTAATTTTGTTCAACTTCACCTGACTTTTGACACAGCCTGATGATCCTTTTATTTTTTTCATTTCTTGTTAACTTTCTGGCAGACTCCCCATTTCTGTTCTAGTGTCCTTTCTCCTTAAATCTTTAATTCCTTCGTTTGTCTGAGCTGATGTTTTATTTCCCATTTCACATGCCTGCTCATCACTACCTCAATACTATTTTTCTTCAGGCAGTCTTAATCCTTTTTTTCCTTCTCTTCAACTTGAATCCCTTCTCATCTCTAAATCTTATATTTTTATATAGACACACTTCCCTGTTTCCCTCAATGGTGTTATCATTTTCCCAGCCAGCTATTAATCCTTAACTCAGGCTTCTCCTTTATCCTCATTATCTAGTCAGACAATCTTGATTGTTTTTCACCTTCAGACTCTTGATTCCTATTGTTGACACCCTGGTTTAGTTCCTTATATCCTTCCTGGATTGCTTATATCTGACTGTGGGCTGTTCCCCCCTTACTTCTGCTTCCCACGTGCGCCTCCCAGCTTTGTGTCACTTAAAATAGTCTATTTTTTACAAGACTAAATCAGACTCCCTTCAACATCAGTTTCATCATATCATACCCTCATTAGCTTAAAAATTAAATGGTACCCTACTTCTTATGACATCAAGTTTAAATTCTTATACCTGACTTTCAAGGCCTTCTGTGATGTTCCCATCCTATCCATAGAACCTTATTTCCCTCTATTCACCACACTCTCTATTTGTTTTAGTCTGGCCACTGTTGTCACTGAACCAACAACACACCAGGCTTATTCTTCTCTCTATGCCTTGTTCTTGTTGTTCTCTCTCAGATAGCCGTTTCTACCTAACCTCCACCTCTCTAGACATTACCCAGACTTCAAGCACACCTGAAATCTTACCTTCTTCCCTGAAACTTTCTGTGCGTAGTGCCCGAACTGCCACAGCCTTCCGCCTTCTGTGTGATACTTACCTCTACCACCTGATTTAGCGGTTATTTACATACTACATATTGGTATGAAGAGACTGCCGCTTGCACTGACATCTAAAGCAGGAAGATCTGGGTCTGAGTTTTGCCACTGACTCTTATTAGTATTATTTTATTGTAATTATTAGCTGTTTGACCTTGGGCATCTAATTCATCTTTTACTGCTCTAGGCCAGTGGTATCAAACAAATAGAAAAGAGGCCATTAAACATACATAAGGATCTCTTTGGGCCTCATGTTGACTTAGAAAATCAAATTTAATATTATCTATGTTCTGTTGTATCTTTAGTTTCCTAAATATTGCCCAATTACATTTTAATCTCATTACTCAGAGATGTTGGGGTTGGGGTTGGCGCTCCATGTCCTAGGCAATCATCTAAAACTGTAAATTACAGTGAAGGTGCTGACCTGCTTTGATAGACAGTTTCCTCACCTGGGAGTTCTTATACCATTGAAATTGCAGGTCCAGTTCCTGACCTTATATCATCATGAGGTTAAACACAGAATAATGTCATATTGATTGCTTTTCTTACATCTATTTGTAAACTCTGTTGATAGGGATCATATATGATGTTTATTTTATGTTCCTCATTTTCCCAGCATTGTGGTTGTGGATATATTTATTACTCAGTAAACTGATTTGGTGATTTTCAAAAGACTGTGAATCTGTTTTTCATATGTGATTTCAGTACAAAATAAAACACAAGTACTGAGCACAAATCTGTCTTCAGCCAGATTTGTCATTGAAATGCAATATATATCATTATATTGTCATTTATTACTTTTCTCTGAAATAATGTAGTTGTCATTTTCATTTTTCATTAATCTAATCTATTAGACTTCTGAAGCATACATTATAATTTAAAATTATCTAAAAGTTGAGAGAGATAATTTATATGCATTTAATCTGATCTTAGAACTTGACTAATGACTGATCATATGTAATATTTTAAAATAAAACTAAATTGCTGAAATACCATAGATCACAGCTGTCTTTGCAATAAAATTCTTATTTTTCTTTCAGAACATTCCTGATGTAGATGAGGAAGGCTATAGTATTAAACCAGAAGCAAATCAGAATGATATCCTTTCATCTACATATTTGCCAAATTTACTATGTTGTATATGTGTCATAAAAAGATAAGTAAATGCTATTTGTTTCAATGATTGAGTCATTGATCCAGTTCTTAGGATATAATTTTTAAGTGTCTCCATTTAAGTTTGCATCTTTTGTTTGTAGCATTTTTGGTAAGTACTCTTTATTGTATTATGGTCTTAAAAAGAAGCACCTTGGTGTAGTAGATATTTTATTATGGTCTTAAAAAGAAGAACCTTGGTGTGATAGATATAGGTCTAAAGAGTCAGGAAGATCTACATTCAAATTCCACCCCTCAGATACTGGCTGTGTACCTGGGTAACATACCTAATCTCTCAGTGCCCCAGGCAACTCTGGAAATCTCTAAATTGCTGAGGTGGTATTGATCTCTATTATTGGAGTGTCACTCTAAGTACCTTATTCCAGTGAAATAACAAGTCTCATTCTCCTCCCTTCTTGTGTTTTTTCCTTCCCCTTTCCCCCTTATCACCCCCCAAAATCTGTAGAGAGCATAGTTAAGATTTCAGTTTTTCTGTGTTTGAGTTCTTTTTGTCCTACAGCATGATCAGTTATTATAAAAGTCTTGGTTGAGGAGCTCTAAGGTTCTCATTCAGTAATTTTCATAATCAATCATAGAAGGCATTTAATAAATTCTTACGTATCTTTCTAATATTCTATGGGTAGTCAGTAATTTCCTTATTTATCTCTATCATTTCATCAATTCTTGTTTTAAAACAGAAAGTTCTTAACTTGGGATCCATGAAACTGTTTCTAAAAATATTGTGATAACTTTTAATCTAATTGCTTTCCTTTCTAGTCCTGTGTATTTTATGCACTTAAAAACATAATCTTCAGGAGAGGTCCATAAGTTCCAGCAGACTATCAAAAGGGTCCGTGGCACACAAAAGGTTAAAAATCTCTGCTTTACAAACTATTTTGCTTTGTTAAGGTTGTACTTTGTAATCAGTTTTTGAGTCAAAAGCACCCAACTTTACTTCTCATGAAGGTGCATGTTTAGTTTTATTGGACAGGCAATCTGTTTTCCTTTGTCAGTGTGATGTATTTCACCCTCTTTCATTTCTTGTCCCTGTTAAATAATCCAATATGATTTTGATGTGTGATGTGCTTCTTCCTTTTTGCCTGTAAGGGTCTCTCTTTGATACTAAAGCTCTGGAGTTTTTCTGTATTTCTGGGTGGATTAAATTTGGGGTTCCTTGTTCCACAAATTCTTTTGGTCTGCACTTTGCCCTCTTTTCAGACAATTTTTTGTTTATGATTGCCTGGAATAGTTGCTGTTGCTTATTTTTCAGAGAGACCAATAGTCCAGCTTTGTTCTTTTGAATTGTAGAGATCTGAAGACTTCTTCCATTTGTACTGTTTTGTTGGTTTTTTCCCCCCTGCCATCTTTGCATTTTTTCCCCCATCTGGCTGCCCATGTTTTCTTCTGAGAAACCATTTCTGTATTAAGATTTTCAATTGAATATCCCAAACTGTTGACTTATTTGTCTTTTTCTTTCGGTGATGTTATGTTCATTTTTCTAGTTGGCAGAGATGGCAGATCTTCCCTTATTCCTCTTAGTGAGGTTTTTTTCTTTTTTTAAAACAACTCAGAAGATTTTTTTTAAGGTAGATTTCTTCAGTGAATGTGTTTGTGTGTGTTTTTTTTTTCAGGGGTTAGAGGGAAGGAAGTATTAGTTGGGGGGAGGAAGCTGTTAGTTGGTTCTTTCCGAAGAATTTAGTCTTATTTTATTTTACTTTATTTTATTTTTACTTATTTACTTATTTTGTTTTATTTTTATTCCTTGTAAGTATATTTTAAACTCCTGGGTCAGGTGACCCAAATTTTGCTTTTTAAAAATTTCCAATGCCTAGCACTGAGTACCTGACATTTAAAAAAAATTATTTTTGCCTGGGCTCATGATTTCATAGGTTTGGGTAACTTCCCTTTTGTAAAGTTCTCTACTGACCTTGATGGATAGCAGTTCTACAATGTGTTGTGTACAGAGTTGCCTGGGGCACTAAGAGATTAAGTACTTTACCTAGAGTCACCCAGTTCTGTAAGCACTATGCCCAGAGGCTTTTCTCCTAATATGTGATAGGTATTTAATAAATTCTTATTAAATCGAATTGGGGTCTTTTTTGCTTACTCATTTCTTCAGATTCTCTATTAGATCTTCTGTGAGGTCTTCTCTTCAGAAAAGGATTTCTTTACTTTTCTTTCCTTTTGGTGGTGGTTCTTGTTACTTTGGTGTATTTTTTGATGTGATGCGGTGATAAAAAAGGGAACTGGGCTTAGCTATGACCAAAGACGTGGCCCTCTTGCCAAAATTCTTGTGTTTATTTCTTAGCTTGTTATTCCTTATTTGACAGGTTTTGGTTTTTTTTTTTATTATTAAAAAAGCTGGAATGTGTTTTCATTTCATTGAGGCTTATCTCAGAGTCATTGGCAATCACAGGTTAGAAATAGTTCTGTATTTCCTTTTGGTTCTTGTTCTCAGTCTTGGGACCTGCCTTCCAAGCCTTTCAGTTTTATTATCCACTGATTTCTCTGTGTAAAAGTAGTTTTCCATTGAGAACACTTTAAAAAGACTTTTCCTCAACTGGTCCAAACATACCAAAGAGAACCATTTCTACTCATCCAGTGGTTCTGACTCTGACGATGAAGAACCAAAGAGGTACCGCATAGAAATCAAGCCTGTGCGTCCCGACAGCCCCCGTCGTACAGTGGCTTCTTTGGACGAGTTGAGAGTGTCCATTGGGAACATAAGTCTTTCACCGGCAACATCAGTAAGTAATATGAGGTGCTTTCACTTACTATTTTGTGTTAACAAAAAATATCAAGCACTAATGACGTTTAGCGTTTGGTTCAGGGATGACAAAATAAGGTAACATATTGTTACAAATAAATTGAGTAGATTCTGGGGTTTTAAATGTGCACTTTTCCCATTACCTAAATAACGAAAGCCTGTAATTAGATAATTCTGTGCCTTTGAATATTCACACAAAGATCACAGGGGTGACCACATCTGCTGCTAGTTTTGAAGCTAGAAGGAAACTTGGATGCTCTTTAGTTCAACTCCCAGAATTTTTAACTAAAAGAAACAGAGGCCCAGAAAGGTAAAGTGACTTGTTCCAGGTCACACAGGTAAGTGATATAGCAGGAATTTGAGCCTGGGAGCCCTGATGATGGTCCAAATTCAGCACTTTTCTGTAACACTCTCTAATTTGGCAAGTTTTATATGATGGGGGTAGGGGGAGCAAAGCATTGTTAAATTCATGTTTATAATCATTTGTTGATCATAGTTGGTTTGTTTAATTTTGGCAGACTTTAGACATTGTTTTTGTGTACAAATCTAATGGAGATAATGTAAGCTATTGATGAAAATTTGGTTTTTCATCATATTTAATCTAAAAGATTCTTGCAAACCATTAAAAAATAAGTATTGATACCATTTTACATCATTTTATACCCCTTGTCTATCACATATATCTACATCATATACTTCAAAAAAAAAATCAGCACTTCTCCCCTCTTTAATTGATGCTCTGGCTTTCATGGGAATTGCTAGATGATAATTAATTCCTGTGTGGGCAGCATGTGGTGGTGGAGGAGAGTGAGCCAAGCCGCCTCTCCAGAAGATCTCAGTGCAAGTCCTGCCCCTAACATCCTGGCTTGTGTGATGCTGGGCAAGTCAAGTAACCTTTTTGTACCCCAAAGAGCAAACACTCTATAATGTTAAGTTGCAAAACAGTTGCTGATCTGCCCTGGTCTGCCTACCTTCCTGCTGGAAATGCATTGTATTCCCTCATTTGGAGTTCGTTGCCCAGAGATCTTGCCCTCTCAGAAGGTTAAGTCTTATGCAGGAATATGGCAGGTGTACAAATAACCATAATGCAAAATAATACATGTTCCAAGGAGGAGAGTAAGCAAAATGCCATGGAGGGTCTGAGTGGCAAAAAGTGGGGGTCAACTGGAGCAATAAGGAAAGAAGGGGACATTACAGAGGAGGCCATGTTTTGCATCCGTTCAGTCTGCTGACCAGGGAATCCACTTGCTCCCTTTTGTTGGATGACATAGTGGGCACTTAGTAAAGGCTTGTTGAATGATTGATTAGAAAATTTTCTGGCTAGAATCAGATAGCAAAGCTGTACTCAGTAATAACAAACTCGTGTTTGTTTAATATTTTAGAGTTAACAAAGCACCTACCTCATAACTACTGTGTGATGTGTATGTTAATATAATTAATGTTATTTCCATTGTAGAGGTTCTTAGTAGTTCAATGATTTGCCTATCGTCACATGACTGACTAGTAGGTGGGACAGCTTATTCTTAAATCCATTTCTTTCAGGTATACTTCAGTACAGAAGATGGGGATTTTGCTTTCCTTTTTACTAGATGGAAGTTTTTTTTTTTTTCCATCCCAATCTGTGATTTCATTGGTTTAGGAATTAGTAATCTGGAAACTGTTGATGCAGATTGGCTATTCATCTTTAACTTACAGTCTTAGAGAGTTGCATTGGGCACTGAGAGGTTATGATTTGTTGATGGTCACACATCTAGTATGTGTCAAAATTAGGACTGACCACAAGGCCATCCCCTATCCATTTTGCTATGTTGCCTTTCATTAAGCGTTCTGCATATGTATAAAGAATGTGTGTGTGCATGTACAAGTATATATACCTACATATATGTACACATGTGTATATGCGCATGTGTGCATATAGATACAAAGACATACTACTTTCAATCAGTCAACAAGGATTTATTAATCAGCTACTTTGTGCCAGGCAAACACTATGCTAGGTTCTGTGGACACAAGTTCAAAGAATGATATAATTTCATTCTAATGAAAGAGACATTAAGTACCTATATAAATATGTGGAGCATAAATATAAAGTGAATAGATGTTAGTTATACAAAGTTACAAAAAGTTAAATGCAAAGTAGCTTGGAAGAGAGGGTACGATAATTAATTGATAACATTTTGTGTTATGTTATTTAATTCCATATTTTGAGGACTCATTTATGTGATAAATATGATAAATATATCATATTTATATAAGACACTGAACCTTTTTTATTTTTAATACCCTGCTGATGTACTTATTAGCTTGACTTTGGTTTCAGGATTTAATTTCTTCTCTGAAAATTTAGCAAGATCTGTTTAATTGGAACTGCTTGATATAGATCATCCTAATTTTAGATACAGTATTAAATATCTTGTATTAGACTTTGATTAATTTTTCATCGCTATGATAGGCTTTTTTTCCACCTAAACTTAATTTTTTAATTTCAAATTACAGGTGCTCTTAGTTAAGAGCCAGAAGACAGAAATAGAAGCAATGTATAGAAGTTAGAGAAAAGCATACTTAGACTTTGCTATTTCCCTAAAATTCCCAAACAGTCAGAGTTACCCAGTAGTATAGTGGGGCATCCCAATAAATCTGTTGGGTTACTCTACCATGCCAATCTTGAAGCAAAGATTGAACATGCAGATGTTGTAAAGGGGTTTCTTGGTCAGATACCTTGACCTTCTAGGCTTTCACTAGCAAATTACCAAGGTCATAAAGGGTTATTCTCATACATTGTTTAAACAGAAATTTAAAGAATGTTTTAAGACTGACCATAGAATGGAGAGAGGGTCAGGTAGTGGGTAGAGCATTGGGCTTAAAGTCAGTAAAATCTAGTTTCAGTTCCTGCTTCTGACATATAGGAATTGTTAAGTCAGTTTAATTTCTATGTTAACTACCTCAGGCAACCTTACTAATTAAGTCATGAGAGCTAATTGCTGTATTCATGAAATATTAGAATCTCCCCATATCCATGTGTACAAAAAGGTCAACAGAAAAATATTATCCTTAAAATTTTAAACCTAACATTCACCTCTTTCTTTTTTATTTTTCCTTCCATGTGATATTAGAGACACAGTCCAGTAAGTACAATTTTTTAAACCTAAGCTATTGATACTAATCATTAAATGTTATCATGTCAGGTTGATGTCACCTCAATTAAGTAAACACTTATTGTATCTAATATATCTGGAGTACTGTCTAGGTGCTAATGGAGACATAAAACTGTAGAGAAGATATGATTATGGTCATCTTGGACTTTATAGTCTAGTCTCTGAAAAGGTAGGGTGATATTGATTGTGGGAGGTCTTAAATGCCAAAAAAAAGGAGTTTGAACTTTACTTAATAGACATTAGGAAAGGTATTGAAGCATGTGGAGCAGATGAGTAGTATGACCATATTGATACATAAGAAAGATAAGTCTAGGTGGGAATGTGAGTGATGATTTGGAGGGGGATAGAGAGAGCACAGATAAAAAGAAAAGACTGGAAGGAGGCTCCCAGATCTCTCAGTGGGTGGGAATGAGAGCCCATACTAGAGCATCAGCAATGGAGCTAGAGAGGAGAGTACAGATACAAAAGATACTGCAGAAGTAGGATCAATAAGGTTAAATAACTGATTGGATAGTCAAAAGCAGCCTGGCATTGTGGGCAGAAAGATGGTCTTTTAAATGAGAAAGTCCCACATTCATTGCCACCTCTGACACATACTTGCTGTTCTCCCCTGGGAAAACTCATTTATTTTTCTGAGATGCTTAACTTGCAAAAGAGTTGCTGATGTGCATTACTGGAAGGTATTAATTCACTGGAGGATCCCTACATTCTAGAAATCACAGATCTGAACAACAACAAAAAATAATGAAAAGAACCTTATTGGATATGAAAGGGAAGAAAAGGAAAGAGTCAAAGATAACAGGGTTTCAGTGAAGCATATGGAACAGCATACTGTAGTAGTAGCTTACAAATAATTTTTATTAGTTTAACATTCTACTAGAATAAATTCGAAAAAAAATAAAAAGTTTGCTTATTTAGGCCTGGTTACAGTCTCATTAAAAACAAATGATCTTGAATTTATTTTGAATTCACATGTGTAAGGAGCTCTACTTGCTGTATGCAAAAGTACCTGACAGTGTTTAGCATGTTGTAATGCAATTAAATAATTTGGCCCTGAGTATCAATGTAATATTTGTGGTTTTTTCATACATAATTTAATGAAACAGTTTGTTATGGTTCTCATTTACTTTTGCATTTCTGTTTCAGGTACAAATGAACAGGAATTCATCTAGTAAGTGTAAAATTTTAATTGAAGGATATTTTGTCTGCTGCTACGTTTTATCGTGTAAATTGTTTAATTACTTCGGTCATGTGCAGAGTAGTAACAAAAGGAGTTTCCTCATCACCTGACTTGAGGGCAGAACAGAGAGCTGTTCTCATTTTTTATAAAATATCAGAATTTTCAGTTTCAGCTGAGACAACAAGGACAAGGAAAAGTTTTTAAATAGCAAGTGAGTTAAAATGAAATTTTTATAGATTGCTTATTAGCTATAAAATAGGAGAACTATAAAATTTTAATTTCCACAGTTTAGGCCTAAATTTTACTACATAGTCAATCTTATTATCTTGTGAAGTTAAAATGATACACTTCATGGATTAAAAAAAATCCATTCAAAAAGACATCTTTTAAGTGCTTGCCATTTTGCAAAGTACTGTGCTTTTATAGTAAATGCTTCAGTTGAAGTGTTTCTCCATTTTATGAGAAAGAACTTTAAATAAAGTATTCTATTACAAATTTGTTGACACTGAGGTCAATTTCTGTTGACTGCAGTAATATAGGAAAGATATACTGTGAAGAAGGTGGAAATACTTTAATAAATGTCAGAATGATTTTAGATAATAGAATAATCTTATTAATACCAGAATTACCAACTTGTACCATTGGCAGAAAAATAAGAGAAAAAGTTCAAAACACAAAGGTAGATAGAGAAAAGATGTGATTATCTGTGGCTGCAAATGTATGCAATCATTATAATTTATTTGGCTCTTTCTACCTTGGACCAAAAACTTTGCAAAATAGAAAAAGATACTTATTTGTACTAAGTTTAAGGAATCTTATCAGATTAGAAAAAAAATACAGATAAGAGAACATATTTATTAAAAAGATGAGATTGACATCCCCTTCTTATGTTAGAAGTTATGTTCTTATGTTAAAAGTTAAAATTCACAAACTTTTAATTAGAAAAATAACTAACATAATTTATCCTAGATTTACTTTTTTCATTCATTTTATTTTATATTATTTTAGCATGAAATTTCTTTTTTAAAGACAGTATTTTTATTGATGCCTTTTTGTATCACATTAATTTCTTAAATGCTTTATTTTTTGCTCCAAACCTAGTGAGCCTTCTACTTTAATAAAGATTTTAAAGGAAAAAGGAAGAAGCCATTTGAAACATCAAACATGTTTAATTCCTCTTACAGTATATGAAATATCCTGTAGCTGGATCACTTTAAAGGATTCATAACATCCTAATTCCTGTATCTCATTTCTCTTAAATATAAGCATGATTATGCTATCTGTTATCCAATGAAAAATTTCTGTCCTTCTACAGCCAACTGATAAGATTGTTGCTGGGTTGTGTATAATTAACTAGTCTATAAATATTACCATACCATGTGTAAAGTATCAAAACACACAAGACATTGAAAATTGTACTCAAAAGATAAAGAATGTTACCACAAGTCCACAGTTTCTGAATTGACTAGATGAAAAAATAGCATATTTGAAATCCCTAAACTGATTTTTCTTAAAGTCAAGGAGTGCAGCAACACTGTGTGTGTGTGTGTGTGTGTGTGTGTGTGTGTGTGTGTGTGTGTGTGTGTGTGTGAGAGAGAGAGAGAGAGAGAGAGAGAGAGAGAGAGAGAGATGTGCTTTCTCTAGTCCAGTTCTGCAACACTACCACCACTAATAGATTTTTTCTCCCAAATCAATTGGCCTCCTTCTCTTATTTCAGTGATTCCCTAAAACATGGATGAAGGAAGAATCACATTTTTAAATTTACTGAGGGCAATATGTTTTAGTCATTATTCACCACGATGCCAAAAATAGTTAAGGAATTACTTGCCCGATGAATTCCTTTAGTAAAAACAAGCTTTTAAAAGACAAATTGTTATTTTCACAATATCTCAGAAGATTAAGATAAGCATTGCTAGAGAGAACTTGTACCAGTTAAGGCTATCAAGTGGTCTTTACATAGATTCTTTTATCATCAGTAGAATATATGTTTTTGAGGGGTTTTTTAAAAATTTGTTTTGAAGAGACTTTCTTGATTAGGAGTATTATAATAATAGTTTATATAAGGAATACTCAGCCTATTAGATATTTGAAAGAATGTTATAGCTATTTGTCCCTCTATTACTTTAGTCACAATTGGACCAAACATTTCTTTATGAAGAATATTTTTATTAATACTTTTCATTTTTTTTATGCCCTTCATTTCCCAGTATATCCCTTATGCTTCCCTGCCCAGTAAACCTTCCCTGGTAACAAAGAGAAGAAAAAAAGTTCAGCAAAACCAAACATTTCTTTCCAAGTTTTTCTTAAAAGTAGACAAAATGGTGAAGAATGTCAGGCTTGGGGTTTTGTCATGGTTGTTAAAGTTATATTGTTTTTTAATTTTTTTTATTTTTATGTCATTGTCATTTCCTACCTTCCTACTTACTACTGCACCATTGAACTCTCCCTTGTCACCCTAAGAACAGACTTAAGTGAAATCAGCCAAGACAGCAACTGTCCGACCCCTCCTGTACTGAGAAGGGGGAGGAGTATAGTGCATCATTGGTTCTCTGGTATTGAAACTGGTCATTGCCATTTATTATTTTCATTTACATTACCAGTCATTTAAGATATTTCCCCAAGTCAGATGAATTCTCTCGAAGACCTTTTTAAATAAATCCCTAAAGGAAGGAATTACATTTTAAAGTCTCTTAGCCTATATTTATGTTGTGGTCATTTTTCTGAGCTCCTCATACTTGTAGCAAACTTGCACCAGAGTTTGTTCAGCCTTTCTTCAATCAGTTGGTACTCACTTTTTTCAAGGTTTTTTTTTCTGACATAAAAAAATACTGATTGTCATCATTCTAGTATACATATAGGACTTTCTACCTTTTATCTCTTTGGAGAAGAAGTTCAGAATGGGATTGATGATTGTAAGGATATGAACAGTTTAGTGATTTTTCTTGAATAAGTCACAGTTGTTTTCCTGAAAGGTTCAGCCAAATCACAGCTCCAACAATATATTAATTATACCTGTAATCCCACAGGCCTTCCAACAGAGTTGTTTTAATTTGCATTTCTTATTATTAGTGATTTGGAGCAATCTTTCATATAGTTGTTGCTATTTTACAATGGGCTTTATAAAAAAAAAATCTGGATTGTTGAGGTCTGCTGTCTCCAAAGTTACTCCTTACCCAGGTGTGACAGTACCTGAAATTCATTCCTTTAACCTGAGCTTCGCTGGTTCAACATGCACAGCTATGTGGGAAAGGGATAAAGTCTTACATTGTTACACATGACTAGCACCATGGTATTAATGTTCCCTGCCCACCCTCTTTTACAGGTGTGGCAGAATAAGGGCATGAAGTTGTTCAGTGTGGGAGGGCCAAAAATGAAAAGATGTGTTTAAGATATATTTCATTTGAAAATGAATATAAAAAATGTAATGTAAAATGTAATGTAAAAAAATAGTTCTGTTTGAGACCTGTCTGGATTCCTTTCATAGGCTAGTCTTTAAAGTCTTTGTAATCTTTCTCACTTCATATCCTATAGCATTAACTAATTTTTAAATTCTTTCCCATTTTTATTAATACCTTTTATTGTTACATCACATTCATTTGTGGATATATACCCTCTGCTTTCCCTAGCAAGCCCTTCCTTGTAACGAAGAATAAAAAAGAAAAAGAAAAATATTTCAGCAAAACTAACCAACACCTCAATCACATCTGATAGTTAATGTAGTATTGCACATCCATGGTCTTCTCCCTCTGCAGTGAAACGAAGAAGATGCATTTTCTCAATTCTTCACTTGAGGCCAAGCTTGGTCATTACAATGACACAGCATTTTGGGTTTTGGGTTTTTTTGTTCTTTAAATTTACGTTGTTGTGGATATTGTATGTATTGTCTTGTTTCACTTTGCATCAGTTCATGTCTTTCCATGTTTCTTAGAATTCTTCATATTCGTCATTTTTTTTAGCCCATTAACATCCCATTACATTTATGTCATTAACTGTTAATATAGCATTGTTTTTAATGTGTGAGCTGTAGGTAATGACTGTAGCCAACATCCAAGGCTATTGTACCTAAGTCATATATTGCTAAAAAAAATACTGTATTATTACAACATTTTAGCATTTTACTGTAGTGGAAAAAAACATTGAATATATTGATTTAGAAGACCTTGATTCCAATCCTGGCTCTGCTATTTACTGTTTGTGTTACCTTGGGCAAGTCCCTTTGTCCATCTGGGTCCCAGTGACCTCATCTTTAAAATAGAGAACAGACTAGATGACTTCTACTGCCTCTTTCAAGTCTCACAATGCCCTGTTATTCTTTTTAGGAAGAAGTAATTTAAAGCTTTATTAATGAAGGGATATCTTTTCTGGCAAGAAAATATTAAAAGTAGAATTTGAGCTTGTTCCAAAGGTTAAATCCCTTTTGACCCCAAATAATTCTCCTGTAACTCTAAAACCTCTCCACAGCTACAGCAGAAATTAAATGCTTATAATTTTTTTTAAAATTAACTAGAATAAATTTTATATTATTCATGGTAGAGATAAAAGATATTATTATCGTGTGTGGCTTCAAGATGTGACAAGTATACTCAGCATGTTTTAGCTTTATAAATTTTAGCTGTAGCGGTTATGACATACCATAAACATTTTCTAAGTCACAGAAACATTTGTGTTATAAACATTTGTATAAATAGCCATTTATAGTAGAATTATTTCTCCTTTCTAAAACTTAGTAAATATTCTGAATACTTTAAGGGACAGTTTAGGATACAAAGAATATAACAATCTGTGATTAGGAAAAAAATTTTATTCATTTTTTTCCTGTTATCTCATAGGAATAAGCATGTTTATATTTTTATATTTCTTTACAAACTTAAGAAGTAAATCTTATTAAAAGAAGTTAGTATTCATTTTAGTTACTGGCTTTTAACAGCATTATACATTTGGAAGATTCCACTAGAGGGCACAGGAAAGCTCTGTGATTTCATTTTACTGTTGGGTATCTGTTAGTCTGATGGTAAATCCAAGGAAGATTTTTGTGAACATGATAACAGTACTGAAGCTATTCAGCTGAAATTCCTTCTCCTTTCCCCCAAATTTACCAGATACTACTAGAAGTATGGTAGTTAATAAAGTTTGTGGGTATTCAAATTTTTATATAGCTGTTTCTTGGTGCTAGCATAAGCCACCCCCCACTTCAAAACCCCCCTCAAAAAAAAAAAATCTCAAACCCTAAACTTTTGAGAATTCCGGAATAATTTTAAGAAACAGTTTGGAATTGAAATGTCATCTTAATTTATTTTAAATTTCATAAAAATCATAGCTATAACAATTTTACTTTAATTTAGTAGCACTTGATTCAGTAGTTAATTAATCCACTTGGGTCCATAAAATTTTAGAACCAGAAAGCACCTTATAGAGATTGAGGAAATGTGACATCATTACTGTAGAACAAGTAGTTCTTAAGTGTAGAACTAGAGACATGACTCAAGACTAGAATTTAAGTCTCTTCCATCTTCAATCCTTTTTGACCCCAAATAATTACAGTACATTTTAACCAGGAAAAAATGCTTATAACATTGAAAAATAACTTCTTTTCTTTACAGACTATTTAAATGAAGATTTATGTATGTACATATACACACATATCATGCTTTACTAGTGCTCTATTCAGTTAGGTTTAAAGTTAGATATTACTAAATGACTGAAACTGACTTTTCACAGTGGCAGCATTGTTAGACAATGAAGTTTGTCTAGAGCTTGATTTATTATTAATTAAAAACTAAAATTAATGAAACTTACATATTTCAATTATAATTTCTTCTTTATTTGATATTTTCCCTTACCCCTCCCCCCTTCTCCTAAACCCCCTGAGTCAAATTTTCTCTTATCAAAGGAATTTAACTTTAGTGAATACAGTAGCAGAGTTGAAGCAAATAATGTCCTAGTAAAGGTAATAGAAAGGTTATTTGGCATACACTCATCTTTTACCCCCTTAAGATTTCCTCAGTTGCTAGGGTTTGTAGAAAATACATAGAAATCTTTATTTTTCTTTTGTTTCATAATTTTTCAGATTATATTTATACCTTGCAGTTTTAGAATTTTTAGGTTTTTGTGTGCATGCAATGTCATTCTTATCTGCATGTGTATATTTTGTGTTTTTATTCATGCCATTGACTGATTTTGTTATTCAAATTACATGATTTTTATTTGTCATAACTTAATTTTTTAATTAGGTGAAGAGTTAACAAAATCAAAGCTTTCTGCTTCATCCAATGAGTAAGTTCATTATTCAAAATTATATTTTACATTTTATATCACTTTTTTTGCATTATGTTCTTTTTGGTAGAAAGTTACTTTTGAAAATAGTTACCTTTGAATATCCAGTTGTGCTTTCATTTCTAATTTTTGGCAGTCAGTCTTGCTTTTTCTACCCTGGACTTGGGGTTTTTACATTGCTATGGTTTTGTTACCATTGCTGACTATTTAAAATTATTTCACATTTTAGAGAAAACAAAATGATTATTTCACTCCATTTGGAGTTTTGGCTATTTCACATAAATAATACTCTCAGAAGACCACAAATGTCTAAATCTCAATTGGCTTCATTCACAAAAATTAATTTCTTTTATCAGCTTTGCTAGTCAACTTGTACAATGGACCATGTGATTAATGAATTGTCAAGCCAGGAAGGAATATCACTTCCCTGTCTTGCAGAGTTACAGCAGAGGAAAAGAAGATGAGGACATGGTGTGAATTTCAACTTAGCACAAAAGTTTGGTCAACATACATATTGAAAAGCAGTGCTATTTACCACTTAAGACATAATTACAAATTGCATCCTGAACTCCTTTCCCTATCCATCATTAAAATGTATGATTTCCTTGCTGCATTTTTTCCATCTACAAAGAGAAATTTTAGGAACATTAACGGATTGATTTTTTTTTTTAATGTATTAGCACCCTCAGAGGTAAAACTGTACGTAACTGTAGTGTTAGTTTCATGTTATATTTTAATTACAAACTATTCATTGTTTTAAAATAAAAACCTTATTTTGAAGAATTATTTACAAAATTTTAGTGTGTTTAATCAAATTAGGAAGTATTTTACTTGTCAAAGTTGTAACTAAAGTATACTACTGCAAACTTCAATGTAAGTTTACATTCAAGAAACTATTGACTTTAAATAGTTCTTATCTTTAAAGAGATAAATAGTACCTAAGTACTGATTTATAGCATCTTTCTATTCTGCACAGATTCATTCATAGCAAAAGTCATGGTGCTTTATGCTTTTGATCTATATCATTTAATGGCCTTCCCACTCCCATTCATCACCTGCCCTAAAGGATTCTATCTTGTGACTTCAAATTTGTGAACAAGTATAACCTTTTAAAATCCCCCATGTTTTGACATCAGCTAAATTTTTTTAAAAATCTAGTTTTATCGAGAGAGTCCACCAGCTCCCAATTGACTTGCAAACATTAAGTATCCTTTTCTTTGGCAACGTCATTTTTGAGTGGTCCCATGAAAGATTTCTTTTCCTTCACAATTTGGCCATGGACAAATTTGGAGGAAGTATTGATAAATTTCAGTATTCTTCTCCAGGATGCAACATTTAGTCTGTACCAGCAAGGACTTTCATAGAGCAAGGACATGCTTCTTACTTCCAACAACACAATCTTTCATTATGATGAAGTCACCGGTTACTTCACCATAGTGGGCAAAATCCTCCCAGAGGGTTAATGCTTTTGTCAGAAAGGTCATTCATGATCGGTAGATGCACTGTTTTTGATCAATTTATCATCCTTAATCTGGCAGCCCTGGCCAATTTTGTAAATACTCTTAGTCGATCTCAGTGTAGCACTTCTGACCACCTGGACAACAGAGAATGCCACATGGGCAGGATGCCAAACTCCAAAACAGACCACTTTGTCTTGGCCTTGGATTTTATGAAACGGTTTCTTTACCAGTCAGCAGTTGGTGATTCCTTTGTAACTCTTGCCCTTGGTCACTCCTTTGACATCAGTCACTTCATTCTGCCCGTACACGGTGGATACAGGCATCCGCTGCTTCAACTTTTCCTGGACCCAGTCCAGTTTCTTAGCCACATTGCTGTCTTTCACTTGGTTCTCCATCAGGTGAGACTTTTCTGCTTTAGAGAAATCAGACACATCTAGGTGTAGTCAGTGACCCAGATAACTTGGCAATATTTCTTCATGCTTGAACTCTTTGTCTAGCTATTTCTTGACTTCATCATCCTGCATCCTTCTAACAGTACTTGATAAAGGCCTCTTCTTGGATATGTCCCAATTTTTATTGAAGCACCTCTCAAGCTCATTACTGATGTGCTGGGCCAAGATGATTTTGAACCATCTTCTTTGAGCGGTTTGTATCCCACAATACTTCCAGTGACCACAGGAAGCATCTCCACAGTGATGACCACTTGCTTTTTCTTCACCTTGGAACTAGGCTTATCTTAGCCTGACCTTCTAATCTTACAGGAGTGTTATAAAGATAAATGAGATAACAAATTAGATCTTTGAGGAAGGTAAATGGTACTGAAAAATATATATATATGTATATATATAATAATTTTTAAATGTGTTGTTTTTCTTTGATTTTTTTTAAATTTGCCTTCCCAGTGTCAAATCCTTAGCCCCTTCTCTTGTACAAGCTAAGGACTGCTAATTCCTTGGAATACAATAGTACATTTTTCTGTTGGAATTGTTTTAGGATATTCAAGTCTTCCTGGATGGTGAAAGTTCCAGTTTGATTTTGGAATTGTAACACTACACAGGTGGGGCAGACATACCAATGCTAATTATAACTTTGTTTGCCTAATGTAGTTGCAGCCCCTTTTAGCGAGCTGTTTTTAAGATGATGTTTTGTATCCCTCCAGAAATAAACATTTTTACTTTGAAATCACTTTCCTTGAGAGAAGGTATCACTGGTTTTCTTCTGTATCTGATCCTTAACCCTAAAAGAAAACTAACTTTGTAAAGAAGATTTTTCACTTGATACAAGGGAAGAAGATAATCTGAGTGTTAAAAAAAAAAACAACACCTAGAATGAATTATTTATACTCTGTATTTAAGTGTTCTTTAGTTGATTTGTTTTTAGGGCATTGGAAGTTTACAACATTGTTTAAAAATAGGTACCCATTTTAAACATAACATTTATTGAAACATAAAATTTGGTTTTAATGAGGTACCTTTGATCATTTATGAATCCTAGTATAAATCAAATACAAGTGATTTGGTCTTTTATGCTGTTAAAGCATATTTGGCATTTAATTTTTTTGTTTTTGGAATGTTATATTAGGAAGGGGAACAGTGACTTACTTGCATGGGACCCACTGTTTGGACCATCTCTTGATGCATCTAACTCAACACAATTGACATCAGGTAAAAAAAAACCAAACAGATTTTTTATGAGAAATTGCATTAGCTAGCTATTTTTTTTACATTAAATTGTTCAATAGCATTTATAAGTTTGTACATGCAATTTACCATTTCATTTAAGTTTAGTAATAAGGATGATACTGATACTTAGATATTGTGAGGTAGTATGTTGTGTGTTAAATGTTTATATGAGTCAAAAAGTCTAAATTTTTGGCAAATAGAAATTATTATTATTCATTTTTAATGGCCTTGGTGTTTATTTCCAATACTCCTATGACTTTAATTTGATTTAATCAGTTAACACATATTATACACCAACCGTGTTAATACTCGGGCCGGGGGGAGTAAGAAGACTTGTAAGACATATATAATACAAAAGCAATCCTGAGGTGGCGTGATTAATTGTCAATTAAATGTTATTGTCAGTAAATGCTGTCACTGAGAGAAGGAAATGTTCATGAAGAACTATAGTTATCTGGGAATTTTCCATGGATAAAAAGGAATTTTGAGCAAAGCGTAGGTATTGAAGAAAATCCCTTAAAGAAATTTAGAGGAATTATGCTTGGAAAAAAAATTCCTCTTTGAGAGTAATATCATATATATTAACATCTAGGTAACTATACTCTTGCCATATTTGCAGTCATTTGAACTATTGCTGCAATACATAATAAAATATTAAATACATTTCTATCATTTAGCTGTATATGTTTGTTTATGGCCTATATTTTGATTATACATTATCCTTTTCGATTTTTTGTACTCTGGAAGATCCTACCTATGACAGTTTTAAAAACTAATTTCTGTAGTTCATGGATATGTATGTATTGTGCTGAAGGAAACCATGGAATTATTTGGGAAAAAGTTTAATTTCATTGCAGAATAGTTCTAGATAGGAAGGAATTTTGAAAAAAAAATTTTAATCACTCTTCAGTCAAGATGAAAAGAGATCATTCATGAAATTTAAAGCTTGCCAAAAATTGTAACTACTTTTTAGTTTTAATTTTGGCAGTGATAAAATAGAATTATCTTTGTGTTTTTCTTTAAAATGCTGTTGTATCAATTACCAAAGGCAGATAACCTGTTGAAAACATCTAATTTGAATTGATTACAAAATTTTTTACTTACTGATATGGATTTCCAGAATGGTGATAGACTATTTAGAATTACGAAAAAGGAAGCCAAAACATGCCTTAATAGGTTTTCCCTTTAATGATGAGATGAATATCAATTTTTCTAATTCAGCCACTCTTATTCCCTAATTTTTTTAAATATCATGTAATATAGTACAAGATCTAGATATAGGTTCTAGTCTGAGTTTTGCTGGTAATAATCTATGTGACCCTTAGAAAATCTCAAAATCCTGCCGAGCTTCAGTCTCTTTATCTATAAAATGAAGACACTGGACTGGATGATCTCTAAGGGATCTTTGAGCTCTGCGATTATGATTTCAGGTTGTAAAAGATTTTTAAGCAACCTCAAGCCTAACAATTTTGGAAAGAGATGAGTAGGTAATTCTTGGGAAAAAAATGTACACTGTTAAGATACATTAAACAGTTGCAAATTTATAAAGTTACGTTTCAATGTTTGAAGTAGTTTGATTACTGAAAAGCATTTTTTTTACATATATTGCCTAGCTCAAGTATTAAAACTTTGTTGATTGACCAACCTAGTTAAATATATAAATTGGATTTTTTTTATGTGATTGGACAAAAATGTTAGAAAAGAACAGTACGAGAGTAATAAAGGTTTATTATCAAAGTCATGCTTTGTTTTTTGTTTTTGTTTTTTGTAAAAATTTTAAGTGGGGTTATTTTTTTTTGAATGGAGAGAGTTCTGAATGTTTTTTTTTTTCCAGTGTGGGTATTAGAATCTTTTTTATTAACTGTTCACTTAGAAATCACAAAAGTTCAAATTAGTATCCCAGAGAAAAATTTTTTTAAGTCTATGCATTGTTTCATGCTGCTTTCTTTTTAGTATGATTTGTGCATTTCTTCCCTACCTCAAAGTCTTTTTTTCTTTCTCTTGCCTCCTATCCAAAGAGTATTTCACCTTTACCTCAGGTAAAACTTTTTCATCTAGTAATCATTTGATAATCATTTCTTATTTGAAATATTTATCAAAGCCATTATTTGAGCTTTTTCTAATTTGTTCAGAGTGCTTTGTTATACATGAAAGAAACCAACCCTCAAGTACTGTCTGCATAACAGCATTAGAATACATCTTTTGCTAACAGTTATTAAGATGACTTGACAAATTATCCTATTATTCTGTTAAACTATCATTTGAATCTACCTTTGAATTTGAAATAAATCACTTACCAAATTATATTACATTATCCTAGGACTGTACTAAATAGTTTCTATCATGCAGCTTAAAAAAAATAGGCAAAGTTTGTCTTTTCTTTCTACTTTCTTTTTCTACTCTGTATTTTTACTCCTTCCCTCAAACCTAGCACTTCATGCTGCCTACTGTGGTATCCCACCTAGACCTTCCCTCCTAGCAGTGTTCCATACCCTACCATTATTTCCTCCGCTCATCAAAGCCCTTTGGCTCTCAAGAAATAAAACAGTGTTATTCACCCTAAATTACTTGTGGCTATTAATTTCTCCAAAACTCCAAATGAATAAATATCTTATGGCATGATATCAGGCACTTTGATGAGGTTTGGAGATTTGGAGCTAGAACGGACCTTAGTGGTCACTTAATTTAATCCCCTCATTTTACAGATCCCAGAAAACTGAGTTCCCTCAAAGGTGAAGTCATTTGCTCACGTCTGGGTGGGGAAGACATTTCTGGGCAGGGGCTTCTCCATTTTTTCTGCCTTACTTAAGGAGGCCTGTCCTGGTACCATGCAAAGGGGCTATAAGTCATCTTCTAGAAAATTTGGTCATTTTTTTTTCTTTGTTATAATTTCCATTGAGGTATATTTAAAATTCCAAAGAATATGATTTCCTTACAAATCTGTTAATAACATTATTGCTGGTCAGATGAGCACAGTGCTGTCTCTTGACTTTGTTAGATTTGGTCTACTCAGTGATAGTTGTTGCACTGAACTTGGGGGAAAAAAGAAAAGAAAATATTTTAGCTAGTGATGTTTCTTAAGGGAATCTTTATACATGTATAAATTTTAAAATATGCTTTAATATTCTTTTATCTTCCATACTTAATATGTGTTTAGCAAGTGTTTATATTCAATGTATATTTGTTGGCAGCTTCAAGTCATATAAGAGCATTAAAAACAGTATAGCTGTTTATTATGTAGATTTAAAATACAAATTTTAGAATTTTCCTGTTGCTTTTAGTTTTCAATCTTTTTCTTCTCCTTCAGCTATCCTTAAAGAGCAGAATAGGAACTCCTCTTCCTTTCCCATTGGTTTGCCTGGGTGTATAATAGCTGAATCTTTACTTGGAAGTGAGTCAGATTCTGGGGCCAGGAGCCCATCACCAGACTTTTCTATTAACTCATTGTGCCACCCTGATGTAGCAGCCTCATCAGAAAGCACAGATGTCTTATCTTTTGCATCATGGTCACAAAGTCAGTGGATTTCCTTTACTGATGAACTTGTTACAGTTAAACACACAAATGCAGACCAGAAGGCATTCCAAAGATTGCATTGTAAAACTGAAAATTTCTTCAAGTTCCCTGATACTTTGCCTGGGAGATCTTCCAACAACTATACCTCTGAGGATCAAAGTAACCGTGGCTATAATGTTAGATGTCCTGAAATTTTACTGGCTGAAGAGACTGAGGGTGCTGCTGAAAAGTCTTCCACATCATCTCCAATACCTCTGGACTCTAGTGTAGTCTCTACCTTTGCTCAGATATCTGATGGTATGGCAAGCATGCATTGTACATTGTGCGTAGCTAATAGCTAATGTCAGAGGACTGGTTTAGGCTGACATTACCATATCTCCTATTGTTTATTACTGATCACTTTTTAAAAACTAATGCTACTCACTTCTCTGAAACCTTCCCTCTTCTCCCCCCTCAAATAATCAACATTTAAAAAACAGTAAATCAGGGCTATCTTACAGGGACTAATATAGGTTCCTCACTGTAATAATCTGTTCAAGAAACCTTTATTTCAATGGTATCCTTTTAGAAGCAATAGCTACATGGCATTTAAAATAGGTACTAATTATCTTGGTTCATAAACAACCCCCTTCTCTCCCCCAAATAAAGAAATTTGGGAGCTTATGGGAGCAGAAATTGTTGTTACCATTCTGAGTTAGCCCAGAATCTGCTTTACAAATTAGAATTATATTTAAGACAGAGAGGTAGTCAGTGGCTCCAGATACGTGATTGTACTATTCTAAGTTGTTTCAAGTTTAAAATAATCAAAAGTTTCACAGATTTAATGGTGGTTTGGAAGAGCAACATGCTATATAAGGCTTTTAAAATTATCGTGTTATGGTCACACACTAGGTCCCTGCTGATTAATGAGAACAAATAATCCCATGAAGTGGTTAATCATTTGAATTCACATTATTCAAAATTATAATTATATGTAAAATAGGGCAATTTTAATCCAGGCCAAAGAAAGCATACAGTGAGAATTTGAATAATGTGTCCACTTTTCTGCATTACAGCACTAATTGGGTCATAGCTGTATGCAGTTCTGTAGGTGTAGATCTCAACCTGGGCTCACTTGTCTTTTGACTTGTAGCTTAAAGTTCACAAGTGACAACATGAGAATTATGGGTATAATGAAAAGCAAACAGTAATAGTAGGATTTGGACTGGCTTAGGCTATGTCTCCCAAGCTCTTATTTCTTCTCATTCTTTTTCCTTTTTTTTTTTTTTCTTTCTCCTTGTCACAACTTAAGTCTCTCCCCAAATCTGGAAATCCTCTCTCCCCACATGACTTTCTCACTGCCTGATTCCCCTCCCCCATTTTCTTTGATACAGTTTTGTGTGCTCTTCTCCAGCTGGCCTTAGTCACAGCAGATTCTATTGTGTGAATTTACATGTTGCTGACCACCTGGCATGAGAGAGAGGCATTGTGTTGTAGTGGACAGAGAGCTGACTTCAGAGTTTGGAAGACCTGGATTCAAGTCCTGCTTTTGTGTATACTGAACGACTCTGGACAAGTCATTTAACCTGTCAGTGGTTTAGGCAACTCTCTAAGACTGTGGGTTTAATTGGTAGAGGAAGTTCATCACCAGGAAATCTCTACCCAATGAAATCACATGTCTGGTTTAAAAACAGTACCTCCAAAAGCAATGCCCTTATGTCCTATTTCCTGTTTTACTGAAGATCCCTTCCATCCTACCTTTGTTTTCCTTACCCATCAAGTATTGTATTAATATTATAAAATACCTATATATTTACCCAGTTAATCTTTATTTCCTAGTATCTTTTTTCCAGTTCACTAACCAGTTAAACCCCATCCCCCCATGTTCAGTTTTATGGTTGCGTATCCTGTGCCCTTTCTTTTATGCCTTTTATACCTCTTTTTTTAGTGGTCTGGAGCTGTCTGCTAAATTTCATGTCTTTTTTTTTTTTAAGGCAGTTGGGGTTAAGTGACTTGCCCAGGGTCACACAGCTAGTAAGTGTCAAGCGTTTGGTGTGAGGCCGGATTTGAACTCAGGTTCTCCTGACTTCCGGTGCCACCTAGCTGCCCTTTGTGTCTTTTTACATACACAATTTATTTATATTCATATCTCTTGCTTTTATACATTCACATGTATGTTAAACACACTTTAATATTTCTACATACATACAATACACACATATACACATATCTCTCTAGATATATATCTGTAGATAGAGATATATCAACAGAGAGAAGAAGCAGGGAAGAGATTGAGAAAGAGAGAGAGAGAGGGAAAAAAATGATAAGCAAAAGCTATACTAAGTAGATATATGTGAAAAAATACAGGGTGTCCCATAAGTCTTAGTGCAGCTTACAGTAATTAAGTAACTACAGCTACTAAGATTTTTAAGACCCCTGGCCTATGAGAGAAAACTTTTAAGTTATCAAATAATTCCTTTACTGTAATGATGAATTTGTGCATTTCTGCTCCCACACTTCATTCTCCCAATAATTTTTACACTGGTTAATTTGTGGCTTCTTCATGATAATATACCTGAATATCACCCAGTAATTTCCTTCTGTGGGAAAGAATCAATCTATGGTTCAAAAGGAAATGACAATATTTTCTCACAGAAAACATTCAGGTCTATAAATTATTTTTAATTAGAAGAAAAACGTAAACAATTAGGAATCAACAAATAGCTCTGGAAAAAAATGTGAACATTATATTGTTTTTATTTGAATTTTAAAATGTGTTATTTAAAAAAAATTATTTAACTTGTATTAATTTAGAAGATTTTTAGTAAGCTAATTTAGGGTTCTAATGCTTTTTATCTGCATACACAAATATAATTGCACTATTTAAATTGTGAGTTAAATTACTATTTGGTTCAGGTAAGTATTGTGCTCCAGTCACTAGATCTAAGGTATTGTATTTAAATCTAAAGGATTTTTTTTATCCTGTAGTAACTCCATGCAAAGCAAATGCAGAGGGGAGAAACTGAAGGCTCATTTTTGAGTGTTATATTTCTTTTTCTCCAATTTTATAAGTTTAATAATAATAATAATAATGATAATGGAAATAACATTTCATTCATGTTATGGATTACGGTATTAATTTCCTCAACAATATTAGTGGTGTTTTAGAAATTACATCTGATAGATTTTTTAGTTATAGTGATAATCGAAATTTAAATTTATTTTGTAAAGTATTTGGAAAATAGAGCTTATAAAAGCAATTATTACATTTTTTTTTCACTTTTCCATTATGATAGGATAAGCCCAGATTTTTCTAATTACTAATTATTTCCTTCAAATTCTCTTTTTTTCCTCACTAGCCAGGCCTACAACTCCTCTTTCTGCAGGCACCATTGTCCCACCTCCAAGACCTACTTCCAGACCAAAGCTTACTTCGGGCAAGCTCAGTGGGATTAATGAAATAGTATGTATTTAATTTGTTTTAAATTCTAGCACTGTTTTGATTTAAGACATGATTTTTCTTTGTCCACATGTAGCTGAACAACTGTAAGTAGATAGATGTACCTGAATTAATGATATGGTTGAAAGATCAATGAACTATGACTGTAGAAACTTAGTACCTGTTCTGCCACTTATGAGCTGAGTAATGTTGGGCAAATTATTTCATGTAACTTGAAAATGTAATATTCTGATTCTGTGATTCTAGAAGCTAAATCACTGTCATCTGAGGAGTGCCCACTTGTTTAACTTGAGTGTTTCATATTCTCCTTTTAGGAATTTGGGAAGTCTGAGGATAATGAAACTTTTAAAAACAAGAAACATGAAAAAACTTTTCTTTAGTATTTAGATCCCCACAGAAACTGTTACAGTAATCCCTGTATATAGGTTTCCTCTGAGATGAGGATATATTGTGTGTAGTATGGACTTTGAGATCTGGTATGTTAAATGCTATCCCTAATCCAGACACACAAATAGATATTTTTCATTAACTAAGAAGAAAAAACAACTTCATGTTGAAAGTGTCAACAAAATAGTTGATTCCTACAAGATAGCATAAAGCAGCAGGTTAATTTGGCTATAATACCTTTGGGCTTAGAATGTACAGGTGGAACCCAAAAATTCTTGGCTGAGGGGTATAGAATACTGCTGAGATAATGGAGTGCTGGGGACATTTTAAAGCAAATTACAGGAAGTTAAGTATACAGTATTCATATTTAATATTTCTTAGGGAAGATATTGCTAGGGTTGAAGTTTTTCCACAGAACCATTATTCTCATTGTACAAAACAACCAACATTCCATGAGACACAGTTTAACTGGTAGGCACAATTTTCCAGGCAGGAAAATGAGTCAAAAAGCATTTTTTTTGCTCCACAAGTCCGATCTTTCACAGAAGCACTCCAACCATCAAAAGGACTCATTTAGAAAACTACTGAGTGGGCCAGCTAGGCGGCGCAGTGAATAGAGCACTGGCATTGGAGTCGGTAGGATCTGAGTTCAAATTTGGCCTCAGACACATAACACTTACCTGCTGTGTGACACTAGGCAAGTCACTTAACCCCAATTGCCTCACCAAAAAAAAAGAAAAGAAAACTACTGAGTGGAGAAGAGCGAACAAAGCGAAAGGTACAGTTGTGAAGGTTATTACTCACATCTGTCATGAAGAAAGTACTCCGTGTTGCCTACTATCAGTATGGGGATAGGGAATAGTAGCAAAAGCACTATGAAGATACAAGAATTGATTTCTTAAGTCTTTTTATATACATGGAAAAATCATTAATGAATACAAGATAATATATAATCAATTGCTAAGTTGTGTAGTACAGTAGATAAATAGATAGAGAGATGGATGGATGGATGGATGGATGGATGGATGAATAGATGTAGAGATTGACCAGTCAATAGATAAATGGATGGATAGAAAGATCAGTCAATGGGTAGAGAGGGGGATGGATGACAGATCAATTGATCGATCTCCTTGATTCTAAGACCAGTGCTATAGAGCTTGAACACTATGTACAAATTTTACATATATGTACTGTGTGCATACGAAGAAAAAAACTATATACTACTGAAATTCTGTTGGCCTTGGAGTCAGAAAGAGCTACATTCAATTCCCACCTCTGATACCTGCCATCTGTGTGACCCAGGATGAGTCACTCAACATTTCAAACCTTAGGCTCTAAGACTATGTTACAAAGGATGTAATCTGTGTCAGTGAAGCTCCTTGATGATTTTCTCTGACTTTTGGCCAAAAAAATGCCATACACCTATAGCCATATAAAAAATAAAGGAATTGGAGGACTAGAAAGGAAGGGACATGAGAGCTCTTCATTTTACCTTAGTTTCGTCCTCAGCTTTCACTCAACCCACACATCCAGTCAGTTGCCAAATTTCTCATTGATACCTTTGAAACATTTCTCATTTACATCCCCTTTTCTCTATTTGTATAGCCACTACACTGGTTTAGATCTTCATCATCTCTTGCCTAGACAATAGACATCTAACTAATCTTGCTTCAAATCTATCCTCATTGCTTCCCATCTTCCACCCAGCTGCCAAGGTGTCTTGATTGGAGTAGCTAAGTCTTTCACAGTTGATCATCCTTACAATATTGCTGTTATTGTGTACAATGTTCTCCTGGTTCTGCTCCCTTCAACTTTGCATGAGTTCACTTAAGTCTTCCCAAGTTTTTCTGAGAACACATGCTCATCATTTCTTACAGCACAACAGTATTCCATCACAATCATAAACCACATGTTATTCAGTCATTCCTCAATTGATGGGCATCCCCTCAATTTCCAGTTTTTTAGCACCAAAAAAAGATCAGCTCAGTATCTTAAGGACACTTGCTAATATGTTTTGGTGTGGCTTATTCCTAAGTCTACAAATTTATCAGAAGAACACTTCTATTTACATAATGCCAGGCCGTATTTCTTTTCCTCCAAGGTCTCCTTAACGTGTGGCTTTGAAAAGAATTCCAGACATAAGCAAAATTAGGAACTGCATTTTTAACATAACAATATTGACAGTTATGTCTATGCCTGTAGGATATACCAAATTTATCATTAACTCTTCTGTAACAACACTGCCTATTGGGAAAAACACCCTGATCCACAGTTTGAATTAGCAACCTAACATCATGGGACAAGAAGACAATAAAAATATTCTCAAAAATTTTTATTTTGTCAGAGTAAGAATCATAGGATTCTAGCAATACAATAGCTTTGCTTTGTGGTTAAAATATCTCACAAAAGTTACAAAAAATGACAGAATCCAATCAAGACAGTGATCTAAGGTAACTCCAAAGAACCCATGATGAAAAATGCTATCCACCTCCAGAGAGAGAACTGATGAACTCTGAGTGCAGATTGAAGCATACTTCTTTTTACTATTTTTATTTTTGTTGTTTTATTTTGTTTGAGTTTTCTTTTGCAACATGGCTAATATGGAAATATGTTTTACATGACCTCACATGTATAATTGAAATCAAATTGCTCACTCTTTATCTAGAGGAGGAGGGAGACATTTCCACAAAGTTCTGCTTTAATGCCTTATTGTGACATGGAAGTAACCTTGGTTTTTGAAGGCTATACTATCAGTGCTAATTCTGGCAGATTTCTACCATGCTGAATAGGCTTTCAGTATGGTTTTAACAGATTTCTTTACGAAGACCAGCTTAGCTAAGTATGGAGAGATCATTTCCAATAAGCTAGCCACTTGTTGATGTATTTATTATTTGAAAAGGCAAAGAAAGAAGTTGGCAGAATTGGTTTTATCATGTATCCACAGGCACCAAGACATATTTTTTCCTCAAACATTTGGTCATCTTGGGTTGCATTTCTCATGAGAAGTATGTGCAGAAAACCCCACCATGAAAATAATTATAGCTTATGCACAAGTTTTAGGTGCAGAAGATGAGGAAGTGGTGAAATTTTATGCAAGAAGAAAATTGAGCTAGATGAATTGTGTATAAGTTAGATTTCACTCACCAAAAGTGACATAAATTTAAATATTAGAGTGTGTGTGTGTGTGTTTGTGTGTGTTGTGTGTATTTTTCTGAGCATCCTGTGGTACTTTCACAAAAATTGATTGTGTGCTAAGATATAAAGAAACCATCAACAAGTGTAAAAAGGCAAATATCGTAAACACATCCTAATGCAATAAAATTATGAAATTACTAATTAAAAAGGAAATAAGAGCAAGATAACAGACCTAAATGGAAGCCTAGTAATCATATCCTAAATAATGATTGGTTCAAAGACTTATTAATCTTTTAAATTAGTGTGTTAGAGGTGATAACAATTAAACATACCAAAACTTAGAAAGGTAAAGCAGTCCTCAAAGTAAAATGTGTATTTATAAAAATTTACATTAACAAAACAGAAAAATAGAAAATCTGTTAACTGAATATATATTTAAGAGAATAGAAATTAAACAAGTTGGCAACCCTAAAAAAAAGTACATAAGAAGAAAATTAGAGGAGGAAGAGAAACTTGAAAATAAAAGATGCTTCCTTTAGAACTGATGAACAAAATGAAGAGCAGTTTTGGGTGTTTGTTTCTTTGGAAGCTAATAATCAGTAAACCATCAGCCAACCTCATCAAGAAAAAGAAGAAAATCACTAAAAACAAAACAGGGTGAATTCACAATAAAGACTCTGATATAAAATTCTATTCCAACAAAACTGAGAAATGAAATAGATAAATATCCATAAGAATATACAAAAACTAACAAAACAAGTATAATTCATTTTTAAAAGAAATAAAGCAGGCCCTAAATGAATTGCCAAAAGAAGGAAACAACCACAGGCCAGGTGGATTTACAAGTGATTTTTATCATTTAAAGAGCAAATAGTACCTGTGGCATAAAAACTGTTCCAAGAAAAACAGAAGCAGAAGCTACTCTATAGACTAATTTTATGAGCTTGCTGTGGTCTTGATAGTCAAGGAAGAGAGAGAGAAACTAGAGAAAGAGAATTGTAAATGGAGCTGAATTAATTGTAATAGAGAATTGTAAACTGAACTAAAAAAAAAAAACTCAATAGAAATATATTTAGAAAATTATTCACTATGCCCAAATTGAATTTTTACCAGGGATACAGGCATCATTGACATTAAGGAAAAAGTAGGCTCTTATGCACAGCAAAAATTGCAAAAGCCACATGATCATTTCAATAGATGCAGAAAAATCCTTTGACAAAATACAATACTCATGTTTAAGATTCTAAAAAGCATAGCATGAAAACTCCCTTCATTAATATGATCAGGAGCATGTATTTGAAACTAAGACCTAACACTGTTCAAAATGGGTAAACACTAGACATTTAAGTCTGACAACATTAAATTTAGAACAAGAAGTTTAAAAAGGAGTAAGCAAGGATGTCTCATCTCCCACTAAAGTAGTTCTGGAACCGCTAGCTCTAGCAATAGGACAGGAGAAAAAAATCCAAACTAACTTTGGCACACAGGAGACAAAAGTATTCCTACTTGCAGATGAATGATACTGTACTTAGAAAACCCTGTGGAATCAGCAGAGTTCTACAAAGAACTTGATAAAACCTTCAACTGAAACCACCACGTAGTTTGGTGTTCATTGGCTTCAATGAAAGGTGAGCATAGGAAAGGATAGTGGAAAAAATGGTATAGGAATTAGGAATGATAGAGGCCGGACTACACAGAAGTCTTAGACCTATAGAATGAATATTTTCTTTAACAAGAGAATTGGGAAGTACAGGAAATAGCAAGCACCAAATAACATCACAAAAATGAAACTAATTATTAATTTTAAAATAGATTTTCATTGATTTTTTTAACATTGCCTAGATTTCCCCTTTACAATGTTATAGCCATTGTATATATCATATTTCTAGTTCTCCTTACTTCACTTTGCATCCATTTGTGTAAGTCTTTCCATGCTTCTCTGCTTACATTATATCTGCCATTTGTTACAGTACAATAATATTCCATTACATATTTCATGTACCACGGTTTATTTATCCATTTCCCCAATTGATGGACAACTACATTGTTTCCATTTTTTCGCCACCACAGAAAGTGCTGCTAGAAATATTTTGCTGTATATAGGGCCTTTTTTTTTTTTTTAATCAGTGACCTCATTGGGGTCTGGGGGTGGTATACTCCTAACAGTAGATTCTCTGGATCAAAGGATATAAACATATTAGCCACTTTATTTGAGTTAATTCCAAATTGCTTTCTAAAATGGTTATACTAATTCACAGGTCCACCAACAATGCATTAGTGTTCCTGTTCCTGACTTTTGTTATTTTTGTCAATTTGCTGGGTGTGAGGTGAAACCTCAGGGTTATTTTGCTTTGTTTTTCTCTTACTAGTAATTTGGAGTGTTCTTTCGTATGGTTAATAGTTACAATTAATTTTTTTTTTGTAGAACTATTTGTTTATATCCTTTGACTACTAGCTTTTGTCTCATATATTTCTGTCAGTTATCTATATATCTTGGATATCAAACCCTTGTCCGAGATAATTGATTTTAAGTCTACCCCCCCCTTGACCACTTCCCTTCTTAGCTGCATTAATTTTAAAATTAATTACATTTAAACATGTTGGAAATTACTTGTTACTTAAGAATGAGGCCCCCAGTCTTCGAGTGATTTTTAGTATTTGAGTGCTAATTGGTCAGGCAGCTGTGTGCCTGATACCATGGACAACCTTTTCTATGTACTGATTGCCAAGGTGTAAGTTCCTAGCTTATGAACAGTCTTTTCCATATTCATGATTGACCTTTAACCCTTAGTGACCTCAGATGCAGACTCCTGTTGTCTAGGTGAAAACCTATGAAGGACTGGTTCCCATAACCTATGGATGATATGTGGTCAGTGACATTATGGTTATTTCAGGATAGACAGTCTTCTCAGCTCGGATACCAATAAATATCTTGAGAATGACCTTGATAAAAGATCACCATGGTTTGGTTGGGGAGAGAGAGGCAAAACTTTTTCTAGAAATGGCAATAAAGGGGAAAAACTTTAATTTTTCAGCAAGCAAATTAGTTGAAGCAACAAGTGATTGTACTTCAAAGGAAACTGTTAACATGCAAGCAAAAAGGATTACTTCAAACCATACTTTAATAAGAGTTTATTCTATTATAGGAAAGAAGTCTCCAAAATAAGGACTGCACTTGCAGTTACTATCAACAATAAATCATAAGTGACAGTAACAATAATTGATGTTTTATCTATCATTTAATCTCATTTTTATAGAGAGAAATTTCTATCAGTATCACCTTGTAAAACAAAACATCGAGGGTGGGAACCTAATTTTAAAGAAGCTTGGCAAGAGATTCCATTAAGCAGTCATTTGAAGGACTTTTAAATGAAACTGGAACATAGATGACAAATGGATGAAAAGGGAAAACATTTTTATCATACTCTTTTCATGGTCAATTATAGTGGGGCCACTAAATCTAGACTCTTAACAGAGAAAAATGAAAATAGCGCTAGGAGGAAAAAAAAGGGAAAAATAGCTGATCTAGATAGTACACACAGGGAGTCCATGCTGGAAGCAACACAATTTTAAGAGTACCTTGGGATTGATTCTAGACTATATTTTTGCTATTGTTCAGTCATTTCATTCAAATCTGATTTTTTTGTGACCCTATTTTGGATTTTCTTGACAAAGATACTGGAGTGGTTTGCCATTTCCATCTCCAGCTCATTTTACAGATGAGGAACTAAGGCAAACAGGGTTAAGTGACTTGCCCAGGGTCACACAGTTAGGAAGAGTCTGAGGCTGATTTGAACTCAGGAAGATGAGTCTTTCTCACTCCAGGACTGGCACTCTATCCATTGTATCACCTAGCTGTCCATCCTGTAATTATTCTTGTAGTTTTGTGAAGATCTTGGCAACTCCTCCCATCACCCACTTTCCAGAAAAACTTGACTAATCTAAAATAGGGGTGGGAAACTTGCAGCCTTGAGGCTACATGTGACTCTCTAGGTCCTCAAGTGTGGCCCTTTGTCTCGGGATTTGTTCTGTGAAGTTTGGATTCAGTCAGAGGGCTGCATTTGAGGACCTAGAGGGCCACAGGTTCCCCACCCCTGACCTAAAAGGTCAAATCTCATTAAATTATTACAGCAACTCTTATGACCTGAAGACTACTACTATCACATGAGAGCCATTGTCTTGTGACTTTGTGACTCGAATCATATTTTGGGTGTGGTTAAGGGGATTTCAGAAGGGAAGGTTCAGATGATGTAATCTCAATTCTATCTCACTGATAGCCAGTCAGAAGAAGAAACACCTACGTTGCTCAAGATTGTGCTCAGTCATCTTGCTTATTGTCATAAAAGACCCTGTTACCTTTCCCTCAAGGTCTTTGGTGATTAAGAAAGGCCATTGACTTAATTTATTGGTTATTACTAGCCTAATTGATAAATTGATCATGCTTGGAACTTTGACTCTCATTTTACCTTAATTTTAATTACAACAGTGCCAGAGGTAGAAAAGAAAGGTACTTGCCTAGTGACAGGGCAAGCAACAAGATGCCCACGAGGACCCTAGTTTTCTGGTAGATTCCTAGATGGAATGTAAAGTATGATTTGAAGCTAGCTATATGTAGTGAGTTAGGTTAGGTTAGTTAGCAGGTACAACCAGTTGGGACAGGGCTGAGATCCATAAATGAGTGCATTAACTCCCCTAGAGAGTGAGGTCATGTCCTCTGGAAGTCAGGTCCAGAGAATGGCTATTTTAGGTGGGAAGAAAAATAGGGCACTGGAAGTGTAGATGACAAGATGCCTATGTAGGCCCTGGTTTCTTGGATTGCTAGATGGATTAAAGCTTGTTGTCCAGACTATGTATTATATGTACAATTTAATGGACATTCTGTAGAGTTCATCCCTCAGTGCATGTATCTTGGACAGACACTGCAAATTGACAATGAGCAGGACCCAGAATTGAAGAGGAAGAAAGTAGCCTGGATCATCATTGGGAAATTCATGGTCCTGTTATTGACCCCAAACTTTACCTTGAAACAAAAGCTAATCTTTTTAAACACCAATGTTTTTCTACTGATATTTGGTTTTGAGTGATGGAATATTCTCTGAAGAATTGGAGGACCACCAAACTACAATAGTGAGATGCATGGTGGATAATAACTGGAAAAAAAAAATAAGATGAACCAGTCACAAAGAGTGAGGGACGACCAGTGGACAGCCCACATATCCCACTGATACTCATGCAGTGTCAGGAGAACACAAGGAAGGCAGCTAGCACATTGGATGGACTCCTGTAGTGAATTTATGGGAGGTTGTAGATGAACATCTCCCAGAATGGGAAGACATGGTTGACATGGTTATCTGCTTTGTTGGAATGTGAAATATATCCCATGTTGATGAGGTCATGGATTCATTAGTTTGTCAAGAGTATTATAGAAAAAGACCATTTTATTACCAAGAAAGTAAAACATAATAAAAGCAACTGTAACTGAACCTCCCTACATTGCTGGTGTTGGGACAATTGAAGAGCTGCCTTTTAGATTAATCCGACCTTTTCAGCATGTATGGTTGTATAGAGGGAACATAGTTGGATCTGTGGCTCATCTGAATCTGTGTTAATAAGCCATGTTATAATTGAGTTCCTTTGTATTTAAACATACAAGTAAGGAGAAAAAAAATTTATTCTCACCATAGCAGAGTTGTTAAGCAGGTCCAATAATATAGTCTTTCATATGACTTTAATATTTTGAAAAGTTTAAACATACAGGCTTTAATGTTTTGACATTTAATATTTTGTTTTGTAGCCCAGGCCATTTAGCCCACCAGTGACTTCTAATACCAGTCCACCTCCTGCAGCCCCTTTAGCACGGGCAGAAAGCACCTCCTCCATATCCTCATCTGCTTCACTGAGTGCAGCAAATACACCAACAATAGGTAAGTAACTCAAAGATTGAGGCAAGTGATTTTGTTGCATCTTCTCTTACTTAAAAAAAAAAGTAAACTTTAAAGTCTTTTAAATAGTTTCTCATCTAAGTCTGAAATTTTAGTACCTAAAAGTAGCCAAGATTTAATTAGTTGAAATTCAGGTGGTTTGAAGTAGAAGTTTTTATCTAAAAAATTTACCTTTCAGTGTTAATCCATCGTCATATCTGATATATCTGCCTGGCTAGACTTTTATTTAAATGTGAATGTTTAGGGAAAAAAATCACGTTCATATTGTTCAATAGTAAATGGAGGTAAGACATTGAAATTTCATGTTCAGCCTGAGAAAACATAGTACAAGCAGAAATATAAAATTGTTTCCTAAAAAGTATGTGTAGTTCTATATCTATGGGAAGTATGTGTATATTCTTCCTAAATTTGGCATATATAGAAGCATAGGGCTTTTCCCAAATTTTGTACATTTGTATCTTAATGTAGACTAATAGGGTATCCTTTTATTTTTTAAATAATTTTTTAAAAATAACTTTCTCATTTTAAAAAATAGGTTTTTATAGAATTAATATTTTCATATTTATAAAAATTTAGGTTGGGCTTAACAGAAGTCAGGTGGATGGGCTGAAAAAATGACTTTATCTCTTTTTCCATTATATTTTAATTAGTTTTTTTTTTGTGGAAATAAAGGTATGTGGTGGAAATCTGTAAGCAGTTGCTTTTGTAAATAATTAGGGAAAAGGTGAGCAATAGGAAATGAGTGACAGTGATGAAGATAGGCAGTTTTATATGTATTTTTTGAGTCAAAGATTCTTGTTGGGTTTAAAAAGTGAAACCTCATGCTGAATAATTATTTCTGTATAGATTTTAAATTTTGATTCCTTTTGCCCTTGAAATTGTTTTGCTTTTCTGCAATATTTTGTTTTATTTAAATATGGTAGAAGATGATAATTTCATTGGAATTCTCTCTGAAATTGAAAAGCAGTCTGAGACATCATCAGGTATTGTAACAGCAAAAAAAATTACGTGTTAACTAATTATCTTAAAGTATACTTAAAATACTTGCACTTCGTGGCCTAACCATTCCTTTTCCAGCAATGCGTGGTGTCATAGAAATAATGTATAATGCTGAAGTTTAATAACCTCAATTTTGTATTAATAATGTTTTGTTGATGTTCCAGGATCCATTGAAATTTGGCATCTAAATTACAAAAAGTTTTGACTTAATGCATTACTTAAGTGTAAGCTCTTTCTTTTGCCTAAAATTATGATGAACATTTGACATATTGATAATATTGCACTTTAACAATTTCATCAGAATTTCTAATTCAACACCTTTCTTGTAATGGAATTTATTAAAATGAGTACACTGGGAGAAAAAAAAATACATTGTTATAAATCACATTTTCCAACTACAGGACCTAGAGATGAAATATAATCTCTAGCCAATCTCCTCTGTGGTTAATTAATAAGTAAGAAGAAATAGAGACTAGAGGAAGGGAGGTATCGTGTATATATCTTGATGCCCTTTTCCAACTATCTAAGCTCTTGGATCATATTTTGTGTATTATTTTATTTTGGTATTTGAAAGTTCAGGTAGAGAGAGGCTAAGTGAATAGGTGCCACTTTATAATGGGACAGAAAATTATAAATAGTGCAACTAAGCTTAGTTTTCATTTATAATGCAAACAGTACTCGGTCAAGTTATTTTTTTAGAAAGAACAAAGAGAACTGCTATTGGTTGGATTTTTTCCCACTGGGCATGAAATATCTTGGTTGTATTCAACTCTTCTTTGTAATATAGTCATTGTATTGGGATTTTTATCTGTATCATGTTTACTGATTTCTTTCAAATCAAGGTTCTCTAGCTTCACTAAAATTTTTAGTAGATTGTACAAAGCTAAAAGTAAAGTGAGCTAAGGGCAGCTCTTACAGACAGTGGGATGGATTGAAACAAAGAACTGGACCTAAAATGTTGAAAACCTGAGCCTTGCCTTATGAGGGTGTATTTATAATAGGGGATCACCTTATTTGCCTCAGGCTTAGGAGCTCTAGCTTTCAACTCATGGTATATTCAGAATTTTTCCAGAGAAACATCAATGTCAGCAATAAATGCCTCATTGAGTTGGGTTATTACAGTGTTTCTTTTGAACAAAATAATATATAAACATAAGAATCTTGGATAATAAAGGTAAGACTTCATGTTATAAATATGAAAAAGACCTATTACTTGGCAAAAGTAATTGAAAAGAGAGCAATTTTGAAGTTTCTTTTGATCCTGGATATATCAAAGCAGTAATAAATGTTATCCTTTCATACCTGTAAGTTGTCATTTGTGAAGGTGATTTAAGGAAAAGCTTTCTAGCATATAACTTCTTAATATTAGATTATGTACTTGGTGTGGGAGTAGGAAGCAGTAGTGTAGTTCCCCTGTTTCCTTCAAAGTGAGCAGCTCTTAATTACTGCTCCTTTACGGTCTTATTAGGACAAGAATTGAAGGGGACATTTCATGCCAGCTGCACATGGGGCTCAGGGAGATCTGCTCTCTTTTTCCTTCAGAGATCAGTTCCCTTTATGCCTTGATGTTTTCATGTTAAATTCAAAATCACCTTTAATTTTTGGCCATCTAAAATCAGAGAAAGTAAAAAATATTCAGCACTTTTTTTTCCCCCAAAATGTTTTGATTGTAGTACGTACAAAATGCATGTTTTTGATCCACGGAGTAAAGAGTTAGACCTCATTTTCCTCCCTTTTCAAAACTTGTGTCAGTTAAAGCTTTAAAGTTTTTAATTTCTGTCTTCATTTTTTCATTTCCCTTCAACTTTTTTCCCCTATTTTGATTGTAGATTTTGACAGAAGGCAATATTTATGAATTGTGAAGGTTTTTACATTTACAAGAGACTTAAGCAACTCTTATTATCCTTGTATTTTCTAAACATTGAGGTTTTGTTTTTCTGTGAACTAGATGTCAGTGTTAGCTTTTTGTTCAAAATTTAGACCATCCCCACTAAAAACCTTATTCTTCATAGCATCATTGCAACTTTTTTTCACCCTTAACAAAGGGGCAGAAAAGACTGATAGAAGATGTTGTCACTAAAATTAACATCCTGGGTTTCTCAAAGATAATTTTGGTTCTACTATATAGATAATCTATCTGGTTTTTAACAAGAATTATTTTATAAACAGAATACTGTTTTCCAAAGGTCTTATCTTTATGACCTTCTAGGTATATAGGGGTTCAATTTGTTTACAAAGTGGCTTATAAGAGTTAACTTTGAGGTCATTTGACTTGGAATGTAAGTATTATGTTAAAAATCCTTTCAAAGAAGAAATATTATTTTTAGAGGCAAGGTGTAATTGAAAGTCCAATAAAAAACCTTGCTCCTACTCGCAAGGAGTTTACCATCTGGTTGGGGAAACAAGGTACACATACTCTGAACAAAACAGGGTATGAGCTATCCAAATGTTATTTAAATTTTTAACCCTTTCCTTTGGAAAAGAGCAAGATAGGAAAATAGAAGGCAAAAGGATTTTTAGATGACTGATATATAATGGGTTTATGGCAGTAGCCTAGCAGTTAACAGATTCCATAAGTCTTCTTTCTGTTGTACTAATGGTCTTTGTGTGACCACTAAATATTATGTGATAAATGAAGTTATTTGTTGTTAAAGAATGGTAAAATGTGATACCAGTAGGAACAGGATAAGTAGAACCCTCGGTGTCATATTTTTTACTCTTTTATAATTTAACTAGCTTCTTAAGCTGGATGTATTTATAATCCGAATCATCATTCTCCACTTAAAGAGACCTTGAAATATGAAAATTTAATTTGTTCAGTTTCTGCCTACTGGTATTAGAGAGATTTACTTTCTGTTTTCTTTAAACTGTGTTGGTTTTAATAAAAGTTTCATCTCTTTTAAAATGCTCTTTTTAACTCTGATTTATTATTTTTCCCCTTTCTATCTTTGCAGTTTTTCATATTAAAAATAAAAATCAGTGTGTCAGATTGCTTGGTTTCATCTCTTCTGATTTATGTTTTTGTCGATGAGTATTTTTTGTACTCCAGATTAATGCTTTGGAGTTCACTGAAGCTTAACTATAAAGATCATTTGTGACAACTTACTAGGATGAATTGAACATATGGTTTATGTATATTTTAGGTGTTTCACGTGGTCCCAGCCCTGTCAGCCTTGGAAATCAGGACACCTTACCTGTTGCAGTAGCCCTAACAGAATCTGTTAATGCCTACTTTAAAGGAGCAGATCCCACTAAGTTAGTCAATTCTTTTTTACTTTGGAAATTGTATTTTGAATATAGTTTGATTCTTTGTATTTTTGTTGTTGCTGTTTAACTTTTTTTAAATTAGATTTTTAACTAGTGATTTCATTGGTATGAGAAACTTCCTTAGCGAGGAATTCCCTCTACCAATGCAGATCTTCACGTGTTTTGTAACTTATGTAGTCTTGGAGACTAGCCTGGGGCACTAAGAGGTTATTAAATGACTTGCCATAGTCAGTGTGGGTCAGAAACAGGCCAGTGTGATTCTCTTAGACCACAATATCACGTTGCCCCTAATTTTATCATTTTAATTATAATAAACCATTTTATGTTCAAAATTGCCAGTGAAATCAGTAGTAGATTTTCTTTAAATTATCCACACTCTTGACCAGTGTTCTCTTTGCCTAACCTCACATATTTGTAGGCTGGCCAGGGTTATAGATACAGTATAGCTCAGGAGGAGAGGCAGTCTGGCTGGCTCACTGCGTGGGAATGTAAGTTATGATTTGTTGCTGGTAAAACTGTAAACTTTCCAGCAGAGATGTGATGTACCTGCTTAATGTAAAGACTCTTATCATGCAAGCTTTGTCTTCTTTCTTTAAGGAGTTAAATCTTCCTTAGGAATATGGTCCCATGTTTTATGGAGGTGGTTCTTATTAGTATTATTTACAGTTTGATTTTTTACTTATATTTATGTTTGCAGCTATATCTCAAGAAATGACAGATGAACAAGCAGGGTCATTTCCCCTAGACTGTAAAGCTCTCAATTAGGATCACTTTTATGATTCAAATTGACAAGATATTCAGCTAAAAATATCGAGAAAATATTTTTTATATACGAACCTTTGTTTAGCAGATTTGCTTTGGATAACTTTAGACAGAGCTGCCTTTTTAAAAAATTCTCTTTTAAATTGTTTTTCAGGTGTATCGTAAAGATTACTGGTGACATGACAGTGTCATTTCCAAGTGGAATTATTAAAGTGTTCACTAGCAATCCCACTCCAGCTGTACTCTGCTTCAGGGTTAAAAATACAAGCAAGCTAGAGCAGATTCTTCCAAATGCACAACTCATATTCAGGTTTTGTATACTTGTTCAAAAAAAAAAAAGATTTAAAATGTGATTTCCTTATTTTTCAAGTAAATTCTTTTAAGCTTTGAAATAGTTGGCTTAGATATGAAATGTCTTATAATATTTAAGTAGAAATCAAAGTCCACAATTGTACATCATTAGTCTTTATTCTGCTTTGTGAATACTTCTTGTGCGTGACACTCTTTGCAGACACTATAGGCTTCCCCCAACACCCTTAAAAATCATCCTTTTTGTGTGGAACCTCCTCCCCTCCCCACCCCCTTTTTTTTAAACCTGTTTTCACTGTTGTTTCATAAGCTCCCTCCTTCCATGCTACTTTTCAGTCTCACCCTATGGTTCCTTTTCCAGTAGGCTTTCTCTTTACTTACAGATTAATCACATAATTACTGTTTAAAATACAAATGATAAAAGAAATAAATTTCTCTTCAAATGAATCTTTTCTTTATATCTTAATGCTTGCATATAGTGATCCATCACAGTGTGATTCCAGTGCAAAAGATTTCTGGATGAACATGCAAGCTGTCACTGTCTACCTCAAAAAGCTGGCTGAGCAAAATCCATCTGCTTCCTATTATAATGTGGATGTGTTAAAGTATCAGGTAATTGTATTTCCTTTTCTATTTTACAGGTCAGTTTAAAGAATTTTGCACCCATGTTAAACTGACTGAAATATTTTGATAAATAATGTCAAATCATAAGGACAATTGAGAGAATTTTGTATCTGCATTATTAAATTAGCTAGCAGAATAAAATGTTATGATAAATAGTGGTGTATCATGTCTTCCCTTTTACCTGTATTGGTTTCAGCATATTCTCTTGGCTATCTTGTCGTCTTTCTGGGGCTGTGTTTACTTGTACACATTGCTGCTTTACTAAAAGATATCTGCTCTAAGTCCTTGTTAGGGAAAAAATGGCTCCAAAATTATCAAAATGCCTTTTATCAAGCCATTAAATTTAGTTAACTTTGATATTGAGTAATTATAACATTGGCCACAGTGGCAATACATTCTAATGTGAAAACTATTGAGTCAATATTTGTTCTATTGCTATACATCAGTAAGGTTGAGAACAGGAAATAAGAATCATAACATTGAGTTTTTCTGTGTTCCTGGTTAACTCTGCCATGACCTGTTGTTTTTTTTTTTTTCTTTATGTGCCTTTTGAATTCATAAAGAAGATTCTTAGCGTTAGAAGGAACCTTAGAAATGATACTTTCCCTAAAAATGAATCTGCTTCACTTTACTTTTCTAGTGAATTACTTTACTGATTTTTATTGGTATTAATTACTGATTTATTACAGTAATGAATTACTGATTTTTATAACTTGTTTCCCTTTAAAAGGTGTCATCAAATGGTATCCAGTCAACTCCTTTGAACCTTGCAACTTACTGGAAATGTAATGCCAGCACTACAGATGTCAGAGTGGATTATAAGTACAACCCAGAGGCTATGATTGCACCAAGTGTGCTTTCCAACATACAGGTGGTAGTACCAGTGGATGGAGGTGTCACAAACATGCAGTCACTTCCCCCTGCAATATGGTAAATTAAATGCACTATTGACTTTGTGCCAAATTTTTATCGTAATACTGGCAGTACCCAATTTACAAAGAGCTTAAGTTCCAAAGATTCGTTTACAAGAAAGCTATTTGGAACCTGACCCCCATTTTCATAGCAACTTCAACAGACATCCATTAAGTCAGACCTGCACAACCTGCAGTCCTTGGGCCACTTGTGGCCCACCAAAGGTTTCCTCTACATACGAAGGATGTTTTCCTTCACATTTTTCTCGGGCCACCCGAAATCCTTTGGCATGCAGCAAGTAGCCCAAGGGCTGTAAGTGGCCCACGAGCTGCAGGTTGTACAGACCTGCATTAAGTGCTTGTTCTGGGGTGAGCATAAAGGTTGCTTATGTTACTAAATTATCCCACAAAAGCTTTTTTCACTAAATCTGTTCTATTTAGTGAAAATTATAGGGACATCATTTATGGTTTCTGAAGGAAGGACTTTCTGACAATTAGAGGTGACTGAAAATGCAGTAGGCTGCCTCCTTGGGTGTTACTGCAGGTGTTTGGAGACCCATCTGGGGATGCTAGATGCATATTTTCCCTCATCGCAGTTCAGTCTCATTCAGTTCTTTTCCTTCATGGGTATTCCCATTCTGGATGGGTCCTGCCTATTATAGGAAATAGGAATGACTCTTTTGGCCCTGGTGGTTTCCAAGGGATCAGTACAGATAGGAGATGGAGGAACCCCCATAACTACTATACCCACTGAGGCTTCAGAAGGGTCAGATTAGGGCCCGGAGAGGGAAAGGCGCTCTTTCAGAAGCAGTAGTCACCAAAGGACTGTGACCCCAGCTAGTGAAAGTGGCGAAGGTCGAAGGCAGCGACACGTTACAAATTTCACTGAGTTGAGTTCTTTGGGTAGGGGATTCCCCATACCTGGTATGTTTGGCTTGTTAAAATAATCTGTAAAAGGAATTAGTAATTATGAGCATGTAATAATAACACGTTGTCTTTTAATCCAAATGATGCCACTGCCTAGAAGAATGTAACTTTTGAGTTATTTTCCAGTACTGATCATAGGATCATAGATTTGGAGCTGAAAGGGACCTCAGAGGCCATCTAGTCCAGCCCCTTCATCTTACAGATGAGTAACTGAAGCCCAGAGGGGGTGAGTGAGGTTAAGGGTGCCCAGGGTCACACAGGTGGTAAATGAAAGAGCAGGCATTGCAGTCCACGTCCTCTGACTTCAGATCCGGCATACCACACTGCCTCAGAATGGTAATAGATTTGTGTTAGTCTCTGAATCCATTTCCCTTTGCAACCAATATGAGTTGAGGATAAATTCATCAGCTTGTGTGTACTTTTCTTAGCCTTGGAAAACAATATGTTATCACGTTCTACTAGTTTGTACACATTTCCACTCTATAATAATAAACTTGTTTGCCATCATAATTATTCAGCTTACAATATTTTAAAAACTAGTCTTCTTGTATTCTGACTACAGGAACACAGAACAAATGAAAGCTTATTGGAAGTTGTCAAGCATTTCAGAAAAATCAGAAAATGGAGGTAAGTGAGCATGTGGCTGTATTTTTAGTTACAGTGTGGAGTTAATGAAATAGGTTGGATTTGTAAGGGCCCCTCAAGGCTAATGGTCTCTACTTGAATCTTTGTGTCTCCAATTCAGTTGGCTTCCACCTGATGCAGGAGTGGGGAACCTGCAGCCTCAAGGCCACATGTGGCCTTTTAGGTCCTCGGGTGTGGCCTTTTGACTGAGTCCAAGTTTTACAGAACAAATCCTTTTATGAAGGGGATTTGTTCTGTGAAGTTTGGATTCAGTCAAAGGGCAGCACTTGAGGACTTAGAGGGACACATGTGACCTTGAGGCTGCAAGTTCCCCACCCTTAATGATGGGTAGCAGGCTTTCAGAGAGGTGCAGGCTCTCCTCCAAGCATGTCTGTCCAACCAGAGGGGAAAGATGACCAGGGCTCACTCATTCATTGGCCATGAAATGCAGAAGGCTCACAGAGGTTAAGTAATTAGCCTACCCAGGACTTAAACCCAGGTCTTTTGATTTCCAGGCCAGCATTCTTTCCCCTACTCCATACTTTTCCCCAGTATAATCTGCTTTTGGAGGTGGTTTTTCTGTAAGTCTTTAATCAGTATTGTTATTCTAAAACACTAATTACCTGTGTAACATTAGGAGAAAATGTTATTTGTCACAAAAGTTAAAGAAGTAAAACTACTGAGTACAATTCCCTCCCTATGCCTGGTTTTAGTCATTGCTTAACTCCATTCGCTTTTGTCCTCTCATGTGTTAATAAGCTCTCTTGGCCTAAACAAGCCTCTCCGAATTCCTGGGCAAGTCCCTTTCTTGAGGGGCCGCTTTATTTTATTGTAGCTGGGTGTCATAGGCCTCACCTCTCTGCCTGTTGCCAAGCCTTTATCTTTTTGGATCCAGAACGAAAGGGGAGAATGCTCTACTGGGTGTTAGCTCCTCCACCCTTTCCCCCATTGTTTTTAACTTTCAGTGCCGAATGTAGTTGGTTATTGAGGTAATTTAGTTTGTAACTTGGGATAACCTCATCTGCTCTTTTTTGCCACATTAACCAGGTGGAGTTGATAGCCTAATTCAATTAAACAAATACTTATTATTGAATTGAATTTCTAATCAATACAAAATTAACACACACATTTACCTTATTTCTTCTGCTAAAGTAACCCTGTTAAATTGGTTAAGTAGTTTTGCTAGCTGTTGTATAGCCTTTTATAGTTAGTTTTTTTTTTTTAATTTCAATATAATGTCATCAGAACACAGCAATCTAGAACTAGAGTTTCCTTACATTTTTCTGGTCTAGAACTCAAATTTCATTGTTGTGGGAAGTGCCTCATCTACCCAGGTGCTAAGAGTCATAATTCTCTGTCTCAGAGAGTTATTTGGAGCACTGAGGAGCCAGTGTGTGGTATATGATGATAAAATCATAGTTTTATGTAGAGCTGAGCTAGAAGGAACCAGTTTAATCCAGTCATCCCTATGCAATCCAACAAATTTTGTTAAACAAATATTACCTGCTTTCTGGGCTAAAAGCACCATGAATCCTGTGTGGATCTGGCTTGGCATCCCTTCTTCCCCTCCCCCAATTGTTCACAATCAAGTAGGAGGGAAATATTTTCCTATATAACTGAAATACACTTATTATATGTTCCTAGGTAGTTGTTACAAAGGAAAGAAAATCTCTTTCATTTAGACACTTGCAGAATTTCCTTTTGTTAAGTATCAGAATATGTATGTCAGGAAACGAAAAACTGTCTAGTTAAGATTCTCTAGTAGCTTTAGTGAAGTTTGTAAAGTAACTCCAGACCAGATTGCAAACAAACAGAACTATTCACCAGAAGCCTAGAACATGCTGTTACATATAGTGGAGCTTATAAAAAGACAAGTGCTAGTTAAGAGGATTAAATATTTTGAACTTGATGTCTGTTCTTCTTGTCTTGACTTCTGCCTGTGATAGTGTTTGCACATAACTGGGTTGCATCGCTAGAATAGTATTTAAAATTTTTAAGAAGCCGTTGGGTACTGATTGAAAAGACAATTATAAATGAAATTGCCGTCAGGTCTCCCTTCCCCCTTGCAGATTTACTGTACTAATCTAGAGAGAGTGGGCTAGTTACATTGGGCCAGTGAGCGAGAGGTCGAGGTTTCCAGCCTTGTTGGCCTGTTCCAATAGTCTCTATCAAGGATTGCCATCCTGGGACGAGACTTGTGTGAACTTTGTTTATTAAGCACTGATTATGTACAAGACACTGTCCTAGACTTTGGGGATACAAAAACAAACAGAAAAGAAAGTTCTTGTCCTCAAGGAGTTTATGTTCTGGGGGAGGCAGGGAAGAGATGCAATATGCTCACAGAAAAGTATAGTCAAAATAATGTCAGAAGAGAGGAAGCACTAAGAACTGGTGGGGCCTGAAGAGCTTCTGTCAGAAGTGGCGCCTGAGCTAAGTCTGGAAGGAAACCCGGGGCCATGGGGCCCGAGCGAGTGTGCTCCAGGCAGACTGGCATAGGCCAGATTGGCTGGAATGTAGCATGTGTGAAGGGAAGTGGATGGATGGTACTAAGATTTGAAGGAAATGAGTAGTGAAAAATCCACCACCATCATGGCATTCATCAGAATCACAAGGTTCTTTCCTTGACTTCTCCATCAGCACTGAATTATTATACTTCATATAATTTGGTTTCTGTTTTTTAAATTTCATCCTACTTTTATGAATATAGTTTGTTTCTCTATCACATTCATTTCTGAAAAATATCCCTCTCCTTTTCTCCTACCCAGTGAGCCATCCTCTTTAATAAAGATTAGAAGGGGGGAAAAAAAACAGTTCAGAAAAGCTAACTAACATATCCACTATGCTATTCCATGCCTATAAACCACCCCTCTCTGCAATGAAGGAAGAAAGATGCATTTTCTTAACTCTTCAGTGGGGCCAAGCTTGGTCATGATAATAACATAACATTCTGTTTCATTTCATTGTTCCTTCCGTTTATGTTGTTGTCGTCATTAAGTATGTTGTTTTCTGGCCCTGCCTTAATTCAGTATGCACCAATTTGTGTAATTCTGCAGGGAGGGGTCTGGACTTAGGATTTGTTAGCATAGGGAACTCCCATTTAGGAAACACTCAACCAGTGCAGATCAGCACCTGCTCTGCAATTTGTGGTTTTATGAAGTTGCTCTAACAAGTTAAATTTCTTGTCACATGATCATAGAGTCGGTATGTGTCAGATGTGGGACTTGACCCTGTGTTTTTGATCCTGACCCCGGCTCTTTGCCCACAATGTCATGCCTGCTTCTCTGCAGATTAGAATGTAATCTTTGGTTCTGGAGATGCTTCTAGGATCCTGTGGTGCCCCAGAATTAAGATAGTGAATATCAGTTATATATAGCTGCACGAGAGTCATTGTAAGAGATTTCTGGTTAATATAACATTAGAACAGTTTTTACTTTAATAACTAAACCCTTTATTAGAAAGAAGTTAATGGAAGATTAGTGTTGACACAGCACTTCCAAATTCCTAGCAAAGACTTATCACTAACCACCCCATTTAATAGGGTGTCACTAACTATCATTACCCGCTTTTGACTTCTCCTTCTATTACTCCTTCTTTGTTGTTCCTTTAGCTGCCTACTCTGACAGTCTTTTCCTGGCTGGCTCACTCCTGTGGGCTTCCTTCAGCACTCACCACAAGTCAGGCAGGCAGGCTGTTGTCTGGAGGCTCTGTCCAGGTGAGACTCTCCTAGAACTTAGGTTAGCACAAGAGTACTGCTTGGTTATTTTATGAAAGTTCGTTTGGATGCATCTTGGCTTAACAGACCATGTCTTGGAAATGGCACAGCTGGTTTATTGTTTGTGTACTGTGTTTCATTACAGGTTCTGGATCTCTCAGAGCAAAGTTTGATCTTTCAGAAGGACCCAGTAAACCTACAACACTTGCAGTACAATTCATTAGTGAGGGAAGCACCTTATCAGGTGCTGACATTGAGCTTGTAGGCACTGGCTATAGGCTGTCCTTAATAAAGAAACGATTTGCTACTGGTAAGTTGGGAGATTTTGATCCTTTTAATTCCCTGAGTAAATATTTGCATGTTTTCTAGCCATTTCTAAACACTCTTCATACAAATTGAAATTAGAAAGCAAAGAAAGAAAGTTTTTTTTTTAAATTTTTAATGTGTCAGATCACCATTGGTATAAGATTGGAATGTTCCTGAGGTGCCAAAGAGAAGCACATGTGAAAATGATTATTCTTGCTCAGTAAATTTTATTCATTTTAAGCTAACCCTACTTCTGGTGTCTGTTTTGTAAGCCGATATGAACTTGAACTCAGTATCTAACAACACAGAAATTTCCTTATGTGGGTTGTAATGCTATACTGCTGTGGGAATCATAATTGCAAAGGGTTGTTTGTGTTTTCAGGACGATACCTGGCAGATTGCTGACGCCCCTGTGAAAATTGTTGGATCAAGGGAGTACAAACCTGCTCTTCTGCATTAACTGTACCTTCCAAACACTATCTTAACATGTATTCAATCTATTTTTATCTTTGACCTATTTTGGAGCTGACTACAAAACCTAAAAATGCACTTTTAAAGTAAGTCATTTGAAAGGAATAGCACTGAAGTGATCTTCAACACTGTAAATGATCAATATTCAGGAAATACATTTATTCAAATAGTGAAATGAAATTTATATAGGCTGAAAGTCAAAATAACCAGTTGCTGTATTAGAAAAAAAGCATGTTATGGCTTAAACATCAAACTTAAAAATTGAAGGAGAGCAAGCACAAAATGTTTTTAGCTTTCCATAAATTCTAAATTCCAAGGTAGTTTTGCAGGTTCATCTGTTTGATGTTGGATGCAAGCAGAACAGGAATGCAAAGTTTGGGATACTGTCAACTTAACCCACTCAGTCACATTGTGTCTATGTGCCATCAGAGAATCGGCTCAGAGTTAGAACATGCAAAAAAGGATAATTTGGTTCCCATATAACATATATTAATAAAATGTAAATGGTGTTTTATATAAGATTTTTAAAAAAATCCTCAAGTGCAATGTGTTTAAAAATAAGCTTGCAAAGGACAGCAGAGAGACTTACTTCTGCAGTTAATTAACTTTATGGAAGTTGTGATTGTTTTGATGAATTAATGCTGTAGATTTAATTTATTTTTATATGAATTGCATAACGTGTGCCTTTTAAAAAACAACAGAACTGTGCCTGTCCACTTTGTGTTTATTAATGTGCCTCACTTCCTTTCTCAAAGTCTGGATCTTCCATTCAGTAACTAAGGATGGTTAAATTTCTTCATATAAAATGCATACGGTTTATAGTCCCTTTGAGATACAGAAGAGAAATTAGGGTAACTGGAGGATGCTCTTTAGTTGCATTTTAAAATACTGGATTACTTCTTTGTGGGGTAATTGCAATAAATGTAGCTACTGTAAAGGGAAATACCTGATGCAGAATTTTTAATATGCTCACAGAAAAAAAATACCTTCAAATATTTAATTCTAACCTCACCAAAGATGTGTGAATTTTAAAACATTCTGGAAAAGATAACCATGTAACTGATTTTTAAACTGTAAATTTAGTATTTCCCTTTACTTTTTGTTCATTATTCGAGACTTAAGTGTTCATTGGCTGTGTGCTGTGAGCATAAATGTACTATTTGTGAGGAATAGCATTTTAGAAAGGCTAATCTCTGGCAGCAGATGGAAGAGTACTGCCATTTGTGTTCATTTTAAGCAGGTGGAAAAAATTGCTCAATTAGTATATTGTTAATTGCCACACAGTAAAAATAGGGTTTGGAGTGATGCATTTGCTTAATGTTTCTAAAATAAGCTACTAACTCTGATAGCACAAAAACTAGCAGATTTACAAACAATGCCTGATCAAATGTAAATGTAAATGAAATGATATATAATACTGAAAACCAATGTCCTTCATTTTACATAGTAGAAGCAATAATATATTGTGTTGTGTGCAATTTTTATAAAACCACTAATTGGTCAGTTATGCTTTACAGAAATTAAGACCCATATTAGCAGACATTTATGTAAATTCTTGTTACACACTAAATACAGCAAAAATGGAACACCTCACCGTTAAATAATATATGTGCTTTTTTCTGTACATTTGCTATTAGAACAATTTTGAAATAGATTTGACTGAAGCAATACACATCTATCATTTGCTGAAATGTTAATCTTTGCTAAATGGTGAGCATAGATAACATAGACTTTCTAACTCCTCTTGTGCTACTTTAGATGCCAGTTATGGTCTCTTACTGGAATCTGCCTTGCTGTCGAACTGCTTACTTGGGCAGTTAACATTTTATTATTGGAATCCAGACATTATTTTATTTGCCATGTTTGTTTTAATCAAGTATTGCTTAAAAGTTCTAAATTAATGGAATGGTTAAGTTTCATTACATTTAAACTACCAGAGTCTTCATCCCATGTGTTGACACACGGATTTGTATTGGGTGCAGGTTACAATTTTGAAGCCATACAAGTGTATATTGATTTTTCGCTGTTAAAAGCCCATTAATGGTGTCAAAATGCCAGTAGATATCCATTGAGAAATGTATTTAGCAAGCTGGTCCTTGCTCTTATATACAATGCTATACTTTGTAACTTCGTCTTAACCAAGAATTTGTAAACACAGAACTCTTAATGAATCTGAGTTTTTATGGATTGTTACTACTTTGGGTTGTAATTAGAACAATACAAATCTATCTTACAAAAATTTGTAAATATTTTTGATTTTTTTCATATAATGTAAATTTTACATAAAAGTTGCACCCTTAATAAACATGTAATATATAATTTATCAACTGATGTATTCTTGTTTGTACTTTCATTTTAAAAGTCTCTTAAGCAATTGCAACAGTTATACCACATATCCAAAGATATATCAAAAGGATGAATCACTACTTATGTAATTTATACAGTCATTTCATAAATCAGAGAAATTAAGATGTGTTCAGGTTTTTAAAAAAAAAAATTGCAGTTCGGGAAGCTAGGTGGCACAGTGCATAGAACACCAGCCCTGGAGTCAAGAGGACCTGAGTTCAAATCCAGACTCAGACACATGATATTTACTTAACTGTGTGACCCTGGGCAAGTCACTTAATCCTGACTGCCTCACCCCCAAAAAAAAAAAATTGCAGTTATCCCTTCCACATCATGACTTTCCCCATTGTATTTTCGATACATTGCAGGTCGGCATAAGAAATTAAATGAGAATTTGGGGGGAGTTTTGTGGAAGCCGCAGACACAGAGTTAAATATGACTACTTAACCCAAATTTTACAATAAGGTACTATAAACACCTCATAAAAGAAAAAGAAAAAAATCAGATTTCTTCTCTGGTTTGAAGGGAGGGCCAAAAAATTTTACGAAGATTTTTCAGATCACAGGGCTGCTGTACCCCTAACCTCTACAATGTGGAGGTTTTTACATTGCCTACATTTTTCAATACATCTTCCCACCCCAAGAACTCATATTTAGTTTTAATTGACCAAATAGTGAATCTTTAATTTGGAATATTACTTCAATATGTAAACATTTTTAGTCACAGGCTAGTTTTTCTGAGTATTTATAGATTGTGTTTACCCCTTTCATTGGCCTCCTCAGACATGCTATATCAGAGTTTTCATGACTCGAAAAAAGAGAAGGGGAATTTGGAAGTGTGCATAATTGAAATTAAGGAGTATTCCTATTTTATATACACCAAAGTCACACTGGAGTACAGAGATAAATCTAAGTGGCTAATAATACATCACAAATATAAGTATAATTTCAGTATGCTTTTCAACTTCAAATGTTTCTTTAAAAATCATAGGATGTAATAGTTTCAGCAAATCTTATTAGGATTTTTGCCTATACACTTGATTTTTTCACCCATGATTTTTTAAAGATAATCCCTTTTACCTAGTTGATAGAAGTCCAGTCTTGGAGTCAAGTGAGTTGAAGTCATCTCAGCAAGTCATTAAACTTCTCAGTGCCCCCAAACAACTCTCTGAGATTATAAATTGCAGAACATATGCCAGTCTACATTGTTGGAGGGTGTTTCCTTATTGCAAGTTCCTTTTTATCAATGAAATCATAAGTCTGAATCACCTTCTAGACCCCCCAAAATTAAGTAAATGAAAGAAAAAGAGTTATTTGCTATCTTACCAGCAAGTTTTCATTTTGTTTTGTTTGTTTTCCAGTGCCTAGGAAACCCTTTTAGTCCTTTAGAGGGTGTGGGTGAGAAGTATTGTGGGACCCAGGCAGAAAAAGAACCAAATGTTGTCCCAGATGCTAAAGCCATGCAGACCCTTTCAGGGAAAGGAAGTAAAGAAGACTTATTAAGTTAGTGCTTTTTATCCAGTAGAAAGGGCTTTCAATTCAGTCTTATGGTCACCATGTTATACCTAGCAAGGCATGATTGCTGTTCCTCATTTATTTAGACCCAAATTATTTGGCATTTAAAGGGAATGTTCAAACTTCACTCCAGGCTCCTTCCCATTCCACAATAGAAAATGATTGAATGGATTAGGAGATTTTTTTTTTTAAGTTATCTCTATCTTCTTACTCTAGGGACAGAGTAGGGGAGGTTGATATCCATGAACCTTGCAGGTAACAACACACACCTTCATAAATTTACTATGTGTAATTCACCTTTAAGAACTCCATCTCTTTAAACAGCAGAAGCTTTCAAAATCAATCATGAATATGCATCTTCGACGTGACTGACAAATTTATATCATACTATATGAGCTAGAATTTTTAAGCTTTTTTTTTTTTTTTGGTGAAAAGGGGCAGATCTAATGACTACTCACATCTGCTCCTAAAAGTTTAATTTTTAGGTAAATGTTATTAGGAAATAGATGTTAGACATTTGAAATTGGGGGCAATGAATAATGTAAGTGTGGAGGGGATTGTAAATATATTAACATTCAGTAATTACTCAGAAGTGGGTTATCTCATCAGACATTCTAGATGTTGCACATTCAACATCTAGATATTTATCTGTATTGCTGTGGAAATCCTGGAAATACTCAGCACTGGTTGGTTTTTTCCAAGAATGACTAAGACGTAAGTTAGCATCACCTCCCTGTGCTTTAGTGCAGTCAAGGAAAAAAAGTCTAGCTATCTGTTCTTTTAGTAGTGCCTCCAAGGTCAGCGCTCAGACAGAAACAAGGTAGGCTGTTGGCTGTTTTAATCCGGTGTTTAATAACCAGTGAGACTTGGAAATCCAGCGAAGTTCTTTGTGTGCTTTTGAAGTACCAGGGTGTTATTGGTGATAGGCACCGCAGAAATGCTCCAATAGAGAGAGACTTCTACCTGAAAAATGTCGTTACTGAATAGAAATCTAATGCAAGCCTGCGCTGCTTCCTTAGGAAAAGTAGTAAAGTGGGTTTGAGTGGAAAGTTAACAGAAAACTCATCACTCATTTTAGTTCCTTTGGACTGTTAAAAAAAAAAAGGCCACTTAGGAGCTAAGGTAACCCAAAATAAATAGCCAGCTTTATATAGTGCTTTAAGGTTTGCAAAGTGCTGTATCTCATTTTATCCTCACAACACCCCTGGAAAGTATACAGTATTACTATCCTCATTTTACAGATGGGGAAACTGAGGCAGAGAGCGGTTAAGTGACTTGCCCAGGGTCACAGCTAGTAAGTGTCTGAGGGTGAATTTGAACTCCAGTCTTCTTAACTCCAGGTCCAAAGCTCTATCTATTGTACCACCTAGCTGCCTGTATAACATACTCTTATTATGCTCCAGTGAAACTAAGAAAGGTAACATGGTGTAACTGGAAGAAGACTTGAGAGTCAGAAACCCAAGTTCAAATTCAGATCTGTGCCTCAGTTTTCTCATGAGAAAAATGAAGACAATAATACTTACATTACTCATCTCATGCAGTGGTTGAAAGGAAAATGCCTTGCAAATCTAAAAGTGTGAGGTATTATTAAATTTCACCGATGTGGGTGCCCCCTCAACTCTTCAACAAGCATTAGGTACTAACTAAGTGCTAGGTGCTGGGGGTACAAAGACAAAAAGGATACAGCCCCTACCCTCGGGGAACTTATGTTTGGGAGGAGGAGAGAGTGAAGAAACAACACATATACTACTAAGTAAATACGAATTAAAAGACTTAAGTACGAAGTAATTTCTGGGGAGAGGGAAGGACACTAGCAACTGGAGAGATCAGGAGGCACTTGGGCAACATAACCCACCCCTTCTCCTGTGTGGTTGTCCATAGGTTTTCCCATAAGTGCTTCACAGAGGATCTATCCAAAAGCTAGGGTGGTTTCTCATGTGCTTTTAGTATCTTGGAAGAATCAGTGAACCACTCAGCCTGAGTATTATTAACTCCCATTTGTCCTGCATGACCTTACAACCTCTTTTTCCACTCTGTCAATGTGAAATGACCTCAAATGAATGAATTATTATTCATTTAATAATAAAAAGTGCATTATTAAGCACTTACTATGTGCAAAGCGCTGGCTAACCCAATAGAAAGGTGATGGAGTCACTACTCGCAAGGCGCTCACATTCTGATGTGGGAGACCACACATATGGAAGGTGTCAACTGCAAAGGTCCCCCGGTCCTCAGAGTACATCAGCAAAGCAGAAGGTAAATGCCTCTTTAATGTCATTCCCCAAAACATATGATATCAGAGGCATTAGGATTGAAACATGTAGAGTACCGATTCATTCCCAAACTGAAGAACACCTACTCTTGAATATCAAATGCCTGCCTACCAAGATAATTACCTTTCATATTCAATAAAGAGATGTTAACTGTATCATCTTAGTCATTATTCTGAATGTGGTTGACCAAGAGCTAAATGAAAGGGCCCTGCTGTAAGGAGATGGTGGTAGTGTAAGTCTGGACTAATCTAGAAGAGCATTTTGATTATTTTGGATCATTTGGATATTGTATCATTTACCATCTGGAAATCCAAGCTTTTTAATTTGCATAGGAACCTCTGTTCTGCCTTCCCCTCCCCCCCCAAAAAAGGTCTGCTGCCTGATGCCGAATGTAAAATTCAACCTGTTGGTCCAAAACTATCTTATTAGACATTTATTCAACCAAATGGTAGATCTGAACAGTAGTATCCTAGGAAGCCAGAAAAGAGTATTCCCAGAGAAAAGATCAGGAAACCAGCCACGCACGTTGGTATGTATGTGGAAGAGAGATGGGGGGAAGGGGAGGAGTGGGTCATGAGATTGATCAGAGTAAATCATTGCATCTTTTCCTTCTCATTTCCCTCCCCAACATTTTGATACAGGTGGATATCAAGAACAATTTGAAGGAAAGGAAAGGAAAGGTCGCAATAGTGATTAGAGCTTACTTTTTTTTTCTTGCTTCTATGTATTTAAAAAATAATTCCCAACATACACATTCACACACACTCATGCACATACAAAGAACCTTCCCATATGCAGAGTAGAACATATAAGAATTTCCACTTCATACTACCTGCTTTTTAAAAAAAAATATATCTTCTATGTTACTTTCCTGTGCTTCTGTACTTCCTTCTGAAATTTATTCTATGCATTTAAAAATTTTTTCAGTGGCCCTCTGTTTTTGTGCATTACTATTACCAACTCTCCCTTTACTCTCCCTCTCCTCCCCTGCAAAAAAAGAATTCCCCAATTTAAAATGAGGTAGGGAGGATAGAGAGAAAAAGCCCAAAGTATAACCAAGCAAAATGAACACACACATATACACACACACACACACACGTATCTTGAATACATTGTCGCTCTGTCAGGAGGTAGGTAACATGCTTTATCATAGGTCCTCAGTTCATTG